GGGGTCATCTGGCAGTCTCCGGCCAGGACCCGGAGACTGCCAGATGACCCCGCTCGGAGTGCTGCCCACCGGAGCAGCAGTGACGCGACGCTCGGCGAGGTAAGTAAGAAGAAACCTGACCAGCGTACTCACTTTGCTCAGTGCTCGAGACGCTGACTCGAGTATAAGCCGAGGGGGGCACTTTTCAGCACAAAAAATGGGCTGAAAAACTTGGCTTATACTCGGGTATATACGGTATGTAAGTCCCACTTACAGAAGAACTCTTTTAACTAGGTCAGCCTTGTATTTTTTTTCCCTCTTTTTTCCTGGAGTACATTTTCATATTGGAAAAAAAAAGCAGAGCTGTAAGTCACATGAAACACATTCCATTCAATAAGCCTTTATTCCATTTGAGCCAAAAATGTTACACCTCACTGCTTCCCCTGTTTGCAATATTTATGTGCTGATAGTGTTTAGTACACAAAAGAAAAAGAGCACTCATGAGCTTAACATAGTTCCTTCCCTTATGCTGGAATTCTGATTCTCTACCAATGAGGGTAAAGTGATCGACACCCTTACCGGTCCTGTGGTGCTTATGCCCAGTAAGGGCCTAAGGAGCTAAAAAAATGTCAACCAGACAGATGCTTTCCCATTTCATAGTTCTAACCGATTTGAGTCCTCCAGTATCCTCCTACCCTTAATCCCATGATTTACCAGCATCTCCCTCTGGCAATACTTTTCATGGAGAAAACAGTTTTTGGCTGTAATGCAGCAAAATCACAATAGAACACACTGCAGATATCAAATGGGTAAATAGCTATTTATTTCACTCCTAAAAGATTAAAAACGCATATCAATTAATAAGACTGTCTTCACCCAACCCAGGTTTTGCCTTCTGGCTTCATCCAGGGATGTGGAACAGTCCTGAATCCTCCATGTTTATTACAAAAGTCCTTCTGTTTTACAATTAACCTCCGTATGCGCAATAAAGACTAGTCTGTTTACAAACATTTAAAAAAAAAAACATTACTGCATATTACTAAAGTCTAATTACTACATATTACATCACTGCTTCCCATCAAATTAGAATTCACAAAGATGCCGTTATGATGTGTAAGATGTTTTTCAAGACTAAAACAGAGTAAAATATCACAAAGTATTTTCCGTTTTTTTTTTATTATTAAAACTTCCAACTACCACTAAATACCCCAAAATTATTCATGATCTTCTACCATCTCAGTATTCTATTAAGAAGTCCTTAACATATAGAAGTAGATGGGTTTTGTATTTGTACATTTTTTGTTTTTATTCTCTTAGAGGGAATGCATACACTTTCCGCTATTATCTGTCTTTTTGGATTTGTTACGGTTAACTGTTAGCCTTGCTTTGTGCTGATCGTTCTCTTTTTCTTTCTTTTTTTTATTTTGTAGTCTGCTTCTTTATGTGAACTTGAAAGTTTCCACGATTTGTGAAAGTAGGATACTGGGTGGGCAGTCAAAAATGTGGCTGAAAGGTCTTGTTTCTTGTGTGCTTAACCCCTTTTAATTGGCATATTTGTTCCGTGTAGTCATTTTACATTGTTTTATATATCATTTTAGCATACAAAGACTTATGTCTAATAAATCTTTTAGCATTTTAAATCTCCAAGTATATCCTGTACTGCGTAATATATTATCCCCTCTAAATTTAGGCAGTTGCTAAAGTGTAAGTCCAGACAAAACATTATTTAGTTTTGGATAGTGGATGGACGGGTTAGAACTCCTGTTTTTACTGTGGTCTGGGACTCCTTTAGAGAGATTTTACCTTTTTCTCTGCCAGGTTTTAGCCTTTCCCTACTGAAGCCTTCCTTTTGTACTAAAAAGCAAAACATTTTTATTTCTGTGTGTGTTGCTGTTAGAGATTTTCCCCATTTCGTTTCTGGTGAAACCATTGTCAGCAGGACAGAAAGTAAGAGGAAATCTCTCTAATGAAGTCCCAGATAGCAATAAGTAGCACTAAAAACCAGAGTGGGGTTAAAACCTCTCCTACTGAAAACTTAAAAAATTGGCTTGACATACACTTTAAGATTTTTTTTTTTTTAAGGAGAGCTTGCTATAACATGTTTTTTCTTTAGCTTTATGATTTATGGAAACCCTAACAATGACTCTTGTGTGCTCCCTTTTCATGTGTTAAAGTGTTTTGTTATATCTGTTCCATAAATCCATAAAAATATCTGGTAAGAGATATCGTGTCCAACTCACTGTGCAAATTTTATCTCAAACACTATTAATGTCTCTACCTTGATCACTTCATTGAGCTACAAAAAAACTAGAGCCAATGGAAGGAGGCAGGATTCTGTAGTTGAGATAAAGATAACTGACCAGGGCTGACAAAGTTATTTGCAAACTCTGTTCTGAAAGGTACTGTTGTCAGTTGTCAGCAGAAAATTTGAAGCGGAGTGCATTTTTACCAAGATAAACAGCCTTTTTTGTTTTACTTGTAGATAAAAATTAAGAAATGTATATGCAATAGTGAGAATTATGTAGGTTGCCACTGCTGATCTATCCTTTGGAGTACGTTCATTCCCTGGCTGTTTTGACTTCAACATTTTTGGAGTCTCTGACCTGGGACAATGTATTTACAGCATGCTTGCTGTGGTATCTAACTTAAAGTAATGAAGCTGAACTCTGCTGGCCACTGGCAATTTTCGTGGAATGCTAGCACTGGCAGACACTAATTCTTTTATGGTAGGTGTTTGTTAGGTAAGAAAGCACTAACCATGCCATTGCATTAACTGCTATAGTTTATTTGCATTGCAGGGTCAGGTACGACTTTTAGAAGCACAGAAAAGACAGCAAGAAATTGTCTTGCGACGAAAAACTGAGGAGGTAAACGCGGACAAAATTGTAGGAATAAATCAATATTTGTGTCAATACATTGCACTCAGTGTTTACTGAATTTCTCGCCCCTTATTCACAGGTTTCTGCGCTTCGGAGACAAGTAAAACCAATGTCTGATAAAGTAGCTGGAAGGGCAAGCCGTAAAATCAGCTTACCAGAACCAGTTTCTGATCATGTTGTAGACGAGCACGACAGAACTGGAGGACAGCAGAGACCTCGAATTCCCATAGCTAGAGTGCAGCCTGCAACTTCTAATGCTTTAAATGGATCAAGGTAAAAAATGCCCATTTTATTTTGACTTTGATAGGAATTCCCTGTTTACACATCTCTGATCAAGAAATGTTCATTTAAACAGTACTCCTGCTTCAAAAAGCAAAGGGCAAATTCACATTTCTGTACTACTTTGATTTTAAAACCTCATGGTAGTAGTTGTCAGTGCTGGTAAACATTGCAGTCATTGTGCTATAGCATCACATTCAGAATTAATGAGACTTGGTGTATTTCCATTTTTGCAGTAAAATGTGAGACAACCCCTCTATATGTTATGTTTTCCAATTGACACAGCCTATCTAAAAATAATTTTAAAAATATATGTTTTACCTTTTAAATGTGTCTGTAGCAGGCAAGCTTCTCTCTGTTTCCAAGTGACAGGAAATCTGGGTGACTGAGCAGAACTGAGTAGACCGAGCTTCCCCTCATTAAAAGAGAACTAGTATTTCATCACATGCGGTCACTGTTCGGGCATTCAACAGCTTGCAGCAGCTGTCTGAATACAACAGCAGGCAGGGGAGATTCCTCTATCCATGCTGTTTAGCTTGGATGGTGGATTTAATTGACTTCTCTTGTTCAGTCAGTGGGACGTGAATAGCTAGCCTTAAGGGGATTTCACTGTCAATTAGAATATTATGGTGGCATTTTGCTTCCTTATTTACAAGTATGGATTTGAACACTTTCTTTTAAGCTGCTTTACAACAGACTTTCAAATGCAGAAACCGTTGGCCTATCTACACCACTTTGCCTAAATTGAAATGTTTCTTTCAGGTCATAACCTCAGCCTGTTGCAACGTTTTCCAAGTAATATGCATTAATGTTCTTTCTGGGTTCAAAGCTGTCCTTGATTTGAGCTTTTAATGTCGGCATGTTTCCTTTTTATTTGGAAATTGCTGTATTTCATGTATTTACTGTGACAAACATTACTCCCATTTCTTATTATGAGGGGAACAGTGGACTTGTCCGATTCAGAGACTATGCAGATATCAGCACAAATATTTAAGGAGTTACATGACTGACTTGACTTGACTTAACTGCAAATTTAACACATTTCACTCGTAGTGCTTAGACTTCTATATTTGTGCTGATAACGTTGAAAAAAACAGTAAGGCTGACTATGCAAACACTCATTTAGTTAGAGCACCAACTATGTAGTGCAAAGGCCTGCCTGATTTGATACTTGGGATGCACCGATACCAATACTAGTATCGGTGCCGATACTGGGCATTTTCAGGAGTACTTGAACTCCTAAAAAAAAAAAAGACCCGATACAAAGTGCAGATAACGGGACTTTAAACTTTTAAACTGAAGCCGTTGCTGTAAACAAGCCCCGGGCTTCACAGTAAAACTGCCGAGGTCCTCAGCAAGGTCTCTGTCTTCCTGGGAACGGATTGTGATTACAGCAGCGGTGGCCAAAATCTCCTCCTGCACCTGTGAGACCAACAGAGAAACCAGGTGAGACCGCACAGCCACCACTTAACCCTGCACAGCCATCAATAACTCCGCACATCCATTTGAGAGCCACCATTAACCCTGCACAGCTACCTGTGAGCCACCATTAACCCCGCACAGCCATCTGTGAGCCACCATTAACCTCGCACAGCCACCTGATATCATCCTCTGCTGGAGACATCAGGCCAGCACCCTGGGGCTGCACAGAGTATGTAGCTTCATAATATTCTGCATTGATGTATAATACATCGCTGGGATTTGTAGTCTTCTATAGCTGGTGGTATTCTGCATTATGTTTTGCTGCGATTTATATTCCTCTATAGCTGGTGGTATTCTGCATTGCTGTATAATGTTTTGCTGGGATTTGTAGTCATCTATAGCTGGTGGTATTCTGCATTGCTGTATTGTTGAGATTTGGAGTCGGTGGCAGAACTACCAGAGGCTCAGTGTTTGTAGCTGGGACCAGGCCCTGGCACTTCACCAAATCATTAGTCTGTATTGCTTTAGAAAAATTTTACATGGCGCTAAAACAAAAAAATGATTGGTAATTGGTCTGGAAAAAATGGTATCGGTGCATCCCTAATAATTAATTGGATTATTTAATTGGATCAGACTGTGTAGTGTATGGTCAGCCTAACAGTCATTACCTCTTATGACTCGAAATTTTATTTCCACAATGAAAAACTTTTATAACGTAGTTAGAAGTGTATTAAGTTGTAACATAATTTGGTACGTTCTGTGCAACTGTAGAAACAGTCTCATTAACCATGTTAGTGAAAGAAGAAAGGCTATTTATTTTTAATTACACTGTGCTAAGTGCAGAATTATAATTTTAATGAAGGTACAGTAGTTATTGCAAAATGTTCACAATCTCAAGCTGAGAACAGTAGGTGTGGAAGGATGGATAGCAATATCACAGCAGTCTAGATAATTACAGTAAGTTGAACTTAATTAACGCACTTCATTCGAGAGATTTTTAGTAGAATATATATATTTCAAATATTTTTATTTATATAATGTATTTTAGCAGAATTCTATAACATTCAACTATTTGTAAGACAACACATTTTCAAAATGACCCTACACACACTATATTTTTTTTCTTTCTCAGAAGGAAACATCAAAGGAAGGGATCAAGCATTTACACTTCAAAGGCAGCCAAACAGAAGTGGCAGTCACTGGAGCGAAGGATCACAGACATAGTGATGCAGCGGATGACCATCTCAAATATGGAAACTGACATGAACCGACTACTAAAGGTAAAATATTTCCATTTAGAATTGCTGGCACAAAATAATGAGAATGAAATATATAGAGTGTAAAATAGGGTTTTCATTTTCTCGTAGCTGCTTTTCAAATAAAGGGACATTTTAATTCCTTCATCTCCAGGCAGCAACACTGGGGGGCCCCTTTACTCCTTTCTAATTCATGCACAGCTGTCCATGATCTGAAAGATGTCTTTTGATTCAACAGACTAGAAACCCAAAATCTTCCTAAGAGAAATCTGGAGGCTTCTTTTGCTACCTCCTTCTAAAATGCTGTTAAGCTAACCCACTGGCTTCAGTACTTATGGTCCCTGACCTGGCACAACCATGCATATCAAAAAAGTCAGACATTCTTATCACCATATGTGTTCTTGGTTAGTGACCAGAATGTTGTTAGGGGGTTCAACAGGACAGCGAGGCATGCTGTTACATCAACATGGAGAGCCTTTATTCCATTGCCATCTTTTTTTAGCTATGGTGTGTTGGGTAGAAGATCTTCAGTGTTGGAATTAAGACAGTGATTCCGTTTCCCTTTAAAATGGAAATTACCTTTTAAGTTATAGGAGGTAAGGATTTTTTTCCCCTCTGAAAGTGTCCTCATATAAATTAAAGTGTATGTAAAATCTAACCTTGAACTTTTCTCACTTGCTCTCTTTTGGTCTTTTAAATAAACTATTTGAAAGTGTTTTGTTATATCTGTTTAGACAAAAAAAATACCTGTTGATCTTGTCAAAAATTCAGACCTGTTTTTTTTGTTCTCTCAAGGTATCTAATTAGATCACTTCCTTAAACTACCTGTGTCCCTTCCTCCACCATAATTATTTAGCTAGTTAGCTTTACTTCACTGATCAGGTATAAGCTGTACATATCTCTCAGGTTGGCATATTTCTATAGAATTGGACATCTGGCCATGTAACACATGTATCAAAAATAACAGTGTATCCATTAATAGTAAAGTGATAAATGTACATGCTGCCTGTTGCTTATTTAATCAATTAACCAGTAAAGGTCTTATTGCCCATCTCCATCTCTGAATTCCCCTGACAGCCCCTAATTTTTTAAAATGTGCCTCTCTTCTATGAGGAGAAATCTCTTAGTGAAGTCCAGGTGACTACAGCTTCAGGGGGGGGGGGGGGTTGAGGAAGACAGGTCATCAAGTGCACAGCTACCCATCACAGATGAATGGTATAAACTGCAAATGCTGCATTTTCTAATGAATTATACCAAGAAAGAGCTGGCAGCTGCATGAAGAAATCCCCCAAATACATTTTTTATGCTGGGATTAATTGTTAGAGTGCGAGAAGTAGAGGTAGGTGGTAAAAATGTTTGTCTAATAAGAAAAGTGTTAAGGGCACTTTGAGCAGTATTTGTTTTTCCCATAACAGCAACGTGAAGATCTTACAAAAAGAAAAGAAAAGGTTACAAGGAAAAGGGACCGAATTATGAAGGACAATGGAGATCCTGACAAAAACATTAACCACCTAAATGAAGAAATCGAATCTCTTAGTGCAAATATTGACTACATTAACGATAGTATATCTGAATGTCAGGCCAGTATTATGCAGATGGAAGAGGCCAAGGTAAGTGTTTTGACAGCTGTGTAGATGTCTACTTACTACCGTAGTAGGAACCCTCTTATGAATATCTTATAGCTGAAGTAACTATATTGAATAGTAATCTTGGTGTACTTATTAAGAAAACAATGCTTTATATACAGTATATTAATAATATACTTGTACTTGAATAGGGTTTTCTGTTCTACCTGTAGAGTTATCCATCCCTCTATTGTGCGGCTTTATAATCAACAGTATGCTGTCACTCATGATAACGTAGCCCCCTCCTAGCATGTTACTCTTTCATATTGGAGGGTGGTTAGCTTAAGAAGCATAATGTGGTTTCTTTTCTCAATCTTAGATTTTCCCAACACCTCACTAAGCATGTTATCCCTCACATTCTAGCAATTGAGCAGTATTATGGGAAAGGGAAAGGATTTACAAAATAGCTTCAAAGCTAGAGATAACATTGCTGTAATACACATTTTTAGCAGTAAAAACACAAGTGCTAATCTTTCCCCACTCTATCCAAAATTGGGAAAAACTTATATTCAAACAAATCCAACTCCTCGCTTCATTGCATGCTCAGAACTGGCGCAGTGCTTTTGAGTTCTGCTTACCTCAGAGTGTTTTGCATGTTTTAAACCCAGTCAGAGGATGGCAGACCACATTTGCTGGGCAGTATGGGCCATGCAAACAAGCATCCTAACCAGACCAAACTCTTGTTGGAAATTCTTGTCTCAACGGCAAATTAAAGTGGGCAGCAGGATGCCCTATAGAACACTCTGGCCATTGGACTTGAATCCTTATTTACTGCTAATCCTTACAAGGTTTTTTCATGTTTAATGAGGGACAGGATTTTTGAACAATAGGGTTATGCTGCTGCTTACAGGAGCATTTGGACACCGGCAAACAAAAAACAATGATACAGCTTGGTGTAACCTCGCCCACTCCTTGCATACCTCTGTGTGTTTCGCATACATTTTTTTTGCTAGTGTCCTTGGAAGACACTTGTGAGAAAAGTTTGACTGTTTTTTACTAGCCATATTTCCAAGTTAATTTTTCTCCTCAATTAAGACCTAATCTACAAGCTGCTGTTGCATGTCTCTTCATGCAGGTATCCAAATCAGCATCTCCTCAGCATTAGCTTTGGAGGCTCTAGGTAAACCCTGCTGGACTGGATGATTGGGAGGCATGCCTGCAATGTGATTTTCGAGAACTGAGCTCTACCTGTGGAGCTTTCCAGATCTATGTGTATTGTGCAAGTCAGTACAGAGTATTTTTCAGGTCCTGAGCCATTACACAGCCTCTGGTGTCTATGAAAATTCTTTGAATAGGCTGCATGGGCCCATTATTGGGAAATGATTTGTTTATTATGCCTGTTGGGCATCAGTATTATCCCCCTCAATGGAAAGGTATAAAACGCTCAGGTTTTCAGTGCTTCCTCACTAGTTGCGCTTACATTGTGCTTTTTCCCCTTGATTCAACGTAAGGAGCAGCTTTCTGCCACTGCTCCAATTCTCAAGAGACATAATCTTCCACCTTGGTTAGTCGTTGCTGCGGCCTATAGTGAGCTGGTCACCTCCGGCTTTTTCAACCATTCCATTTTTCAGCAGTCAGTCTATAAGAATTCAAGGTTTTCCCTGTTTATGATGCAACATGTCAGATCCCAAACACAAGAGAAGCAATCCTGGACTATTGCCATATCAGATGCCTCTGGCTCTCTATCCTCTAACAGTTAAAGGAGGGCTGCAGTGTTTCCTCTCAAGGGCCTGACAAATATAGTCTGGATCATTGTCCCCTGCTCCTTACTTTCTTTGGAGTCCTCCTTGGCTCCAGCAGGTGTTGCCCCATCCTCAGCTTTAACCGAGGTGAATTTTGAAGCAGGTATGTAGAGTTTTATGAACCAAATTGCAATTTTCTTTACTGACTGACCACCGAGCACATAAGCATACCTCAACACTTATTGAAGCCTTCATCAAAAAGTGTCCCATCGGTGGCGGTGTCCCATCTTAAAGATGAAATCCAGGCAAATAAAATCTTAACCCTTGCAGTGGGGGGGGGGGTGGACAAATCTCATGGCAAGGGATTCAGCTTTACTCCACACTAATCCTGTAGTTTTGGAGAGATTAGAGTTCATGCCAACAGCTCCTCAATACTGTGTGGAAAGGTTACTGGATCTCTCCTGTCTTATTTTCTGTATGGGTCTCCTATCTGTAAAGCAATCTTAAATAGGCTAAAATGTTTGGATGCGGAACTGAGATGTTAAAAATGTTTACTGCATATTCCCTTTGTGGGACATCTCTTCGGGGGTGCCTTGCACATCTTCATAAATAATGTCTTTAGTGGAATGAATACTCATACTCATCTACCCCGGCAAAATAAGGCTAGGCTTCAGGCTGAAAAAAATGCCCCCCCAAACCTGCGCACAAGTCCTCCCGCATGAAGGGGTGCCCCCATCATGAAATGGTCTTTGCCTTTGTGGACATCTGGCTACATATAATCTCTGATGCTTGGATAGGGGAGTTGGTTTCAAGGGGCTACAAACAAGAGTTTCATTCTCTCTCCCCTTCTCGCTTTATGTCCTCCAGTCTCCTGGTGTCACTGTTCGGGCCTTGTAAAGCAAGGGGTAATCACCCCACTGACCCCAGTATCTTTATCGCAAAGGTTTTGGGGATTCTATTCCAACCCATTCACAGTTTTTAAGCCAAAAGGTGGCATCCTCCCCATCTTGATCTTAAGAAAAACTATTTTCTTGGAAGCTCATTGAGGAGCACGGGTCCCACCCCCTCTATTTCTGGTCTTAATCTTGGCACTCTTTTTTTTTACAAAACCGAGGCATGCTTGGAGTGGGAGGGGTTATACCAGGCTGGATAACTGTTTTTTGTTCAAATCCTCCTGTAGGTGGCAGTATAACCCAATTATCTCTGAATCCTGTGTCCAACAGTAAACTCATAAGAAAAGGATTACAAAAAAGTAAAGTACAAAAATCCTGTTTTTATTATTCTAACGCAAAGAGTGGATAATAAAGAAGAAAAAAAAAAGCATTTGTTGGTAACAAATTTTCAACCTCTGGAGTTAATGCTCGACTGCAAGTCTTTTGGGTAAATGTTTACCAGCTCTGGGCCATTCAGTTTAGATCATTTTTGCAGATTTGCTCAGTTAAGTTAGGTAAGGGCGATTATGGTAAACATTTAGTTTCAAGTCTTGCCACAGATGTCCAGTTGTATTGAGTTCTATGCTTTGTCTGATCCATTCTTAGAGATTTACATTCTTGATTTTACACAAATTTTGTATGTTGGCTGTGTGTTTTGGGCCATTGTATTAATGTCTAATTGCATTGTCTATTACAAAGGTTATGATATAGTGCTTTCCTTGTTGGATTTCTGGAAATTTCTATATGTAGTATAGCACACAACCCCCCAGGAAAATGCTTGGTGTCTTGTACAACTTCTGATGCAACATAAACCTTAAGGAAGCATCCACCATTAGCCTAGAGTGGCAGCACATTGCATTTGTCTGTTTTCTGTTTAAACACTGGGACACTACAAGACCATTGGGAAGTCACTTTTACAACGTGGCATACTAGGTTCACGTTAAACTTGTCATCTTTAGATGTGCACTGGGTTCTTGTACATTTTTATTCTTATAACACCTTCTAAATGACTTCCTAATCTCACAAATTGTTGTTAAATTTATAAATATGATTTGCTTTCTAGGAAGAAGGAGAAACACTTGATGTCACTGCCATCATTAGTTCTTGCACTTTAACTGAGGCACGATATTTGCTTGATCACTTTCTTTCTATGGCTGTTAGTAAGGTAAGTTTTTTTAAAGTTTTTTTTAAGTTGTTTAGAACGTTCCCATCTTTTTCAGGATTTTTTACTTTTTGTTAAATCATTAAATATTGGATTGCAGCTGACGACTAGGACACAGATTTTTCTAAGTCCTGTTAGTTCCCTTATTTTTTTATACATTGTAACTCTTCTTCAACATCGTTGACTGTGTATAATTAATTTAATTGTCTGAGAACATTCAGTATTAACATTTTTCATTAAAAAATGAATATGACACATAATGGCTAGCCAGTTATTTGAGCAATTTAATGTCATTTATAAATTATTTTTCACCTCTAACACTCATAGGATCCTACTGCATACTGTAATTCTGTAGAAATGACATTACTACATATTTTCACAAAAGGCGAATTTGTTCAGCTGGTGTTTGAGGATGATGCACTTTTTCTACATGCTTTTCATGAGAATAGCTTTGCTGGCTCATATTGAGAGAACCCCCTAGATTCCATCAATTCCTCTGAATTTATACTATCTGCAGCTTCATTCTAGATGTTGATTCAAGTACGAATACCTTATGAACAATGCCATATTTTACTTCTGTAGAATTTTACCAGAGTGTTTTGATCACTGGTTTTGGACAGTTATAAAATGTATTAAGGCTCTTTTTAATGTGTATTCTATATTTTGACACTTAATGTAACCCTGTAGCGAATTTTTTTTTTTTTAATAAAACCCCTATTACCTGTTAAAGAAGGCACCTTTATTGGTGCACGTGGTGCCTAACTCTGATCACTAGAACTAGCCCCCTGAAGTCTGCTGTAAAACCAACAATTCTAGGCTATCTCCTGTGTCCCTAGCAATTCTCACTGGTTTCTCCCTCTGACATCACTGCAGGAGAGAGTAGTTAGATTAGAGTTGGTTGGTGGGGGCACCAGAAAAGGTAAAGGGGGTTTTAACAAAATTGTTTTTTGTGACGGTTTGCTTTAGGTACATATTACAATTGAGTAGCGCCTGAAGCCTGTTTACACTTCTGCACTTTGATGCATGTTTTTTTATATACACTGTTCCTCACACTTTACAGTGGCCTACGGGGCGTTTTTGACAAATTGTTTGGTTCTTTCCCAGCATTCGCTTACCAGGGTTCAGGGATGTCCTCTGCTCCATTTATTTAACATGCATATAGAACATATTTATAGGGTATATTGCACGTGTTTTCTTACAAGTTTTCCTCATTTGGAAGCCACTTGTAAACTGTAGCAAGCAAGAATTTTTCAGCAAAAAGCAGTGAAAGGTATCCTAGTGTGACAATTAATACATTTATTATTCTATGCTTATGTCCATTTGATTTGTTTTTTTGTAAGACTCCTAAAGCAACAACCTAAAGTAATCACTGTATATACTCCAACAGAACCAGATTTTGTTTTAATGCTTATTCTCACGGTTTTGCATTCAGGGTCTCCAAGCAGCCCAGAAAGAAGCACAAGTTAAAGTTCTTGAAGGGCGTTTGAAACAAACTGAAATCACCAGTTCTACTCAAAACCAGCTTCTGTTCCACATGTTAAAGGAAAAAGCAGAACTGAACCCAGAACTTGATGCTCTTTTGGGCCATGCACTACAAGGTTGTTTCTTGAATTTACCATTTGCTTTTACTGCACGTTTGCATTTGTGCATGCCTGGTTGAAAATGAAATATTCTGTATATCATCAGCTTATTTCCTGAATAAATGCTGTAGATTAAGCTAAATGCTATAGAGGAAAGCTAAATGGATTAAAAGCCTTTACTTTGCTTTGTTCATCAATTATGTATATTGAAAACTACTACTTTTTGCTTTTTGTTATTATTTTTTGAATATTACTTCAGTTCCCTCGAATGTAGAATTACGTATATACATTTATAGAAGGTGTGTAATTGTTGCTTTTCAGACATTCATATTTGCAGAATAGTTGTTCAGACAATATTGGTCTTCTGGAATTCAATTTGTTACAGAGAGCTGCTCTATCAATTTTGTTATACAAGTACAGATATTTATCTGTAGATTGAACATAAAATGAACAGCCATAAGATTTATGACCACCCACCTAATATTGATTAGGTCCCCCTTTTGCTGCCAATCAGCCCTGACCTGTCGGAGATGGACTTCACTAGACCTCTGAAGGTATGCTGTGTTATCTGCACCAAGCCATCAGTAGCAGATCCTTTAAGTCCTGTAAGTTGCGAGCTGGGGCCTCCATGGATCAGGCTTGTTTTCTCTCCCGTTCATTGAAGGACACAGGCAACAGATCGTAGATCCTGAATGGTAGGGTAATATCGCCACCTGCAGGAGAAGGACGCTAGGCACAAAACTAAAGACCAATTACAGCCTAGGGGCGGCCCCTGCCGGTGGCCAAACCCCCCACCTGCTGACAAGTCTCCAGTTTTTTGCCTACCGTCAGTGTTACTAAACTGGAGACTTGTCAGCAGGTGGGGGGTTTGGCCACCGGCAGGGGCCGCCCCTAGGCTGTAATTGGTCTTTAGTTTTGTGCCTAGCGTCCTTCTCCTGCAGGTGGCGATATTACCCTACCATTCAGGATCTACGATCTGTTGCCTGTGTCCTTCAATGAACGGAGAGAAAAGGATTTTACTGTGAGTACAAAATCCTATTTTTCCAGCACATCCCACAGATACTTGATTGGAGTAAGGTCTAGACCTCAAACTTGTGATTCATGTTCCTATAAACCATTCTTGAACCAATTTTGCACATTAGCTGGGTGCATTTTCCTGCCTGAAGAGGCTATTGCCATCAGGTGCTATTCTTTGTATGAAGAGTTGTACTTGGTCAGCAACATAGTTTAGGCAAGTGGTACCTGTCAAAGTAACATCCACATGAATGGCAGGACCCAAGGTTTCCCAGCAGATTGCCCAAAGCATCACACTGCCAGCTTGCCTGTTTCCCACAGTGCATCCTTGTGCCATCTCTTACCCAAGTAAAAGATACCCACACACCCAGCCATCCATATGATGTAAAAGAAAACCAGGTCACCTACTTCCAATGCTCTGTGGTCCAGTTCTGAATCTCATATGTGTCCAGTGCAGGCACTTTTGGCAGTGGACATTGGTCAGTATGGGCACCCTGACTGGTCTGTGGCTATGAAGCGTTAACCTTTTCAGCAATTTGAACTACAGTAGGTCTTCTTTTTAATTGTACTACATGGGACAGCCTTCGCTTCCCACATGCATTAATGAGCCATGGCCGCCCATGACCCCGTCTCTAGTTCCCCAGTTTACCTTCAATGGACCACTTTTATAAGGTCCTGACCACTTCCGACTGGGAACTTCCCACAAGAGCTGCAGTTTTGGACTTACTCTAACCCATTCGTCTAGCCATCACAATTTGGACCTTTATTAAAGTTGCTCAATTCCTTACACTTGGCTCTTTTTTCTCCTTCCAACACATCAACTTCAGGGACCAAATGTTCACTTGCTGCCTAATATATTCAACCGACTTCCATATGCCATTGTAAGAAAATAACCAATGCTAGTCACTTCACCTGTCAGTGGTCATAATGTTATGGCGGATTTGTTTATATGTGTAGGCTGTGTTAGATCTGTGATCTGTATTAGAGAAGAATTTAATGAAGTCCTGTTTTCACAATGTCAAATCAATTGGCTTGATGATCATAAACAGTCCCTGATTTCAAAATAGATTTTATTTGTGAGATATAATTTTGTGGGTGAGAAAAAAATGCCTTGAAGGTCTTGTCCCTTGGAATTTTGTTTTTGTATTATTTTGTTGAGATGAAAGTGGTGCAAATTCTCATGTAAGGAATTAGGAAAAAGTTGTTGTCCACACATATACAGGTAGCTCAATCTCACTTTTGTTATTTATTAGGTTTTAGTATATGTTATTCCATTACAGCATCTATTCTCTACTTTAAAGGATATGTGCACTTTCTCTACTTTAAAGGATATGTGCACTTTAACAATATATATTTATTTTAGAGCAGTTTTTAATGGTCTAGCCAGTTCAAATTTACTTTTGTTTACCTAAAACCTGTGTGCTCTCTTTAGGAGCCCTGGGCTCTATGTGTCAAGAGTGACAATTATAATGTATCCCAGGGTCTCTTTAGATGTGCATGGCTATGGCTGGCAAACGTCAAATGGGATGTTCTCAGCTAAAGTGTTCCTTGGGATGCCTTATTTTTGCAGTTTTTCTTCTGTTATTCCTCATGTACACATGCTTTCTTACACTGGACTGAAGTCATATGCTGCATAAAATCATAATTGTATGGCATAACATTGTATTTTTTATCACAATGGTGCACTTGTCCTTTAGAGATCACATGAAAGGAGCATCTCTTCTAAAATAGCCCTTATAGGATATAAATTAAAGTCATAGTCCAAAGTACATTATGATTTTCCTTTGCACTAATTGTGTATTTGTACGTTTTTTCCTAAAGCAACCCTTCTTAAAAGGATCTCAGTGTTTATAGTACTGTTTTTCAAAAATGTGTTTATCATACATGACTGTGTTATCTGCAGTTTAGGCACTGATCTGTCTCTGAGCATGGCATACACAAGCAAGGGCTAGACTGGCAATAACATGCATGATAAAAACCTGCACATGTGCCATCAGTTACACTCTTCCTAAAGCTCTCTGCAGAGATGTGGTGGGTGAGGCACAAGGAGGTTGCATCAGTTGCCAAGGGATGGGAGTTTCAGAGATGTAAAGGGGTCAGTAGTTGCATAAACTAACACTGATTTCTCTGCCTCCATTACTCAGATATAATCAATATGGTATATGCCGGAAATCTCAAGACATGCACATTTAACAAATGTGCAAATGTCTTTCCATAATTTAGTAATTTTTTTTTCCTGTAGTAAGATATTTTCCTTTTTAGCTAGACTCCCACAGTTCAACACTATTCTGAGCTGTTTATACTATTATACAGTTATACTGTGTTGCGGAGTAGCTCGTTATATAATGCATATTTAAATTATATCAGACTGTTGGAAAACATCGGAACTCTGCCAAATGCTCACAGCAATGCCAAACAGATCTACATAGAGGGGGAGTGCAGGGAAGAAACTTTCAACTCCTTGTGGTGCTTCACATCTTTACCAGTTACAACATTTTTTGCCACAAATAAATTGTACTGTATGTGTAAATGAACCCGAGTTGTGGTTTAATTTGATATAGCTTATATTACTATTCCCAAACTGATGTACTCCTTTCATGTGATTTCCAGTAAAATTTCTTGAACGCAATGGAGATTGTTTCCCTTGGCAGTTGGCTCTGTTTTGATTGTGGTGTTGGTTTTTGTTTCCTTGCTTTAACTTACACAGACCTAGATAGCATTCAGATGGGTAAGTATGCTTTCAGCCCTTTCTTTGTTGTGCAAATGCATGACTGACTAATTATCCATTAGCACTAACCAGAAGACAACACAGACCTTCTGATAATGTGCTCACTTTGCATGTCCTCCTTTGAGAACATCCTCATATGAACACATCTCCAACCTCATCCCCGCTCTTAAATTAAACAAGATATTAACAGCTGAATGCTGATAATATTGCCTCTGCACATCTGTAAGACTTGACACACCATTAACTTTTCAGCCTTAGAATGCTCCAGCACCATAACATTAAAACTTGTCAGGTCAACCATTTCCTTTATTAATCCCTTCAGCTTACTTAGAAGCAGCATCATGCATCTTAACAGTTTTAATGCTCACGTTTTATAGCAATTTTTACTTTGAGCAATGCACTAAGTATGCAACCAAGTGGTTTTCATTTTTGGATGAGAGAGAGACAAAACCTTTTCTTTTAAGGTAAGCATATTAAAAAAAAAAAAAAGACCGTGATTAGATTTTTCTCATTTTAAGTATTGGCCAAGCTTCATAAAAGGAAATTAATGCAAATGAACTGATTTTTTTTAGATGTGTAAACTGAATAACTGGAGGTGATCACTAAGATCCCAGATTTATGCAAGACTTTTTATGAACTGTTATACAAGTTATCTTTTCCAAATTTACAGATGCTATGATTGAAAATGTTTGTTTCCTCCGTAAATGTATTTCGCCACAATTTTAAATTGTGACAGTATCCACCCAAAGATCAGAAAATAATTGTTAACTTTCACAACAACTCTTCACATCAATACTAAAAGCTTTGTTGAACAGATTATCCTTGTCACTTTGACAGCATACACTTATTGGCATTGCGATATTTTTATTAAATCATTTTAAACATTTGTTATTTCCAATTTAGTTTTACAGAAGTCTTGATATTTCTATATTTTAGGATAGCATATTTGTCTCTGTTTACAGCCATTATTTGTTTCATTAGTTTTTTTTTTTTTAGTTCTTGTTTTTTTAGTGTTTCATTATTGTTTTTGTTGTAGGAAGTGTAGCAGTATGTAAAGGAAAAAAAAAAAAACCTATCACAACTTAAGAATCTCTAGCTAAAGTAGTCATTGTCTTTAGTATTCTGTGCGTGTTCTAGTGTTTTCATGATTTGTCATGAAGTGTCCATTGAATTGTCAATGAATGATTTATTCTCCATTTCAGAAAATCAGGAATATAGCAGTGATGAGGAAGGATCATTACAAAGTCCTGGAACAGAAGGCAGGTATGTTATTTGAGAAATATTACATATAGTTTAAATATGTTCAAGATGCACTGCTGTCACACACACAGGGACCATGGGGAACAAACGTAGCCACCCTTCAGAAGGGAGGACAGTGTCAGCACCAATTCAGAGATGATTTGAGGATCTACAGCCGAGTGATACACAAATAAACGACATTTTTTGTTAATAGTTAGGATACTTGAATTCATTTTGAAGATTTAAACACTGAGTTTAGAGTCAGTTTAAGTGTACGGCTACATACAAGTTTAATTCCTTCTGCTGCTGCTGAGAGTTTTTACTGCTTGTTGGCAGTTGCCTCATTTTCTGCACACTGGAATCAATGAGATAACTGTCAACAACAGCCAAGTAGTAGCAAGGGAATTTAAAGCGGACCTTTCAGTAAAATGTAAGGTCTGCTCATTAGACCAGGGCCCCCTTCCTCTGTAAAAGTTGTCGTCATACTAGTTGGAAAAGCTACCTGTAAGTAAAAAAGTTAGATTATAAACAGTACTTTGTATAGAGAGATTCTGTATGGCATCTTTGAAATATAAATGGCACTTGATTCTAATTTTATGACAAAATGTCTTTGAATGTGACCTGACCACCATGATGTGTTTTAAATAGTTGTGGTCTGTTTGGCATGAATTGTGCATGAAGACTAGGGCTGATCCAATAAAACTGTAAACTGGCTTTTTAGATTTGTGCATGTTTATCTTTAGCTTTTAGCATTTACATTTCTTGAACAGTGGAGATTCCCTTTTTACCTGTTCTTCTTTGGAAGTTTATTTTTCATAATATGGCACTTGATTTTGCTTGCTTTTGGTAAAAAAGCAAAGGTTTCAACTGTGCAGATATGATGTCTATAAAATAGGCTTTGGTTGCTAGGATCAGCTGGAGATGAGAGAGAGCAACTGCAAAGAGCAGTCTATTTGCTCGACAGCTGGCTACATAAGAGTCTCTAGTAATAACACTTTTCCTTTTTACAATGTGCTTAAAAGGCTTCCATTTTAAGTGCAGGTAAAAAGGCATAGGGAAAATTGTTACTTCATTTTATGTCTATAAAAAACATTTAAGAGAATGCTCTGTGCTTAATTTGTTGTTTGCAAATGCATATATGTAAGATACACAACATTTTGAATGCATTTTATATCGTAATTACAACTTAAAAAAAAAATTATGTCTCAAATACATCTTTTACAATACATGTAAAAAAAAACACTGATTGTTTTGTTTGCTTAGCTCATTGTCTTCAGACTTAATGAAGCTGTGCGGTGAAGGGAAAACTAAGAGCAAGGTAAGCAAAAAGGACTTACAAAACCTTCTAGTCTGCACCAACATTTTAAAAAATAATACACATATGTTTAGAGTAACAAAGTAAAAATATATTTTCTTTGCACATGATTGGATGACTAAAGTTAGCAAAGGGATACCCTATTCACTAAATAAGCATTCACTTTGCAATGTGAAACTATATTTTGAAAAGCAAACCTTTTTAACTCATTTGGTAAATCACCTCCATGGACACCAATTGGTAAGTCAGCAGAACTGTCTTTACAAGTTTATGAAGCATTCTACATCACTGGATTTGGGCGATATGCTGCCCTCAAGACAGTTGGATCATATCTGCATCATACAGCCACTTCTGATGTCTATTTAAAAAAAAAAAAAAAATAAGTACCTTATTTGCCGGCGTATAATATGGGTTTTGAAACCTTAAAACATCCCCCAAAAATCGGGGGTCGTTTTATACGCCGGGTACAGGATATGGTATACTGTATGTAGCGTTGGCTACATACAGTATGCCGCGCTGAGCCAATCACGGCAGGCTTTGTATTAATAAATACAAACCTGTATTCATTAATACAAAACCTGCCGTGATTGACTCAGCGGAAGACGGAGGACACAGCGGGGATCGTGGACAAGGTAAGAGACTGTAATCCCGATTGTGGCTCGGGGTTACCGCTTATGGTACTGAAAATTAACCCAGAGCCACACTCTGGAATACCGCCATGGATGTTAGTGGGTGCATTTAAACATTATTTTGGGCTATACTCGTCTTATACGACGAGTATAGCCCAAAACCTATATTTTAACACAAAAAGTAGGGGGTCGTCTTATACGCCGGCAAATACGGTACACAGTAACATGAAGTTTAAGAAATCTTTGGAAGTTATGAATGTGGTGTAATTTTAGAATGATCATTATACAGGGCTTGCTGTAGCTTTACAGAGTACTTCTAAGTTATATGTAACTTAACTATATATTTTAATACTTGAGTGTTTTATGATCTCCTTGCTGCATTAGAACTTTAAAGTGGACCTTTACCCCCTTTCGCTAAAAATCACATCAGCACTCAGCTCTGCATGCTGATATGAAATCATCTTACATTCATTCAACATATTTTTCTTTCACTTACAATTTCTGTTTTTCTACTTCCTGGTAGTCTTGGGCATTATTGATGCAGCCTGTGCCCGAGCGTTGCATCCTAGGAAGATTACATCACAGCTCATTTCTGTAATCTCATGACATCTCAGGGAAAGGCATTTTTCTATCCTGAGATGCTGTGCATGGTCACATATCCTAGTCACATGTGTCAGAGTTCCAGGAAGTAAAGGGATATATATTAATCTGCCCTTAGTAAACATGGCCACTGTGCGAAGAATGGGAAGAAAAAGAAAAATAAGGTATGCAAAGAATAAAAAGTCTACAATTATTTAGAAGTGTGTGTTTGTAGATTGTCATTACTAAACATTTCTAAAGGTGTGTTTGTTGTCATTTCAAAGATAGGGGTAAAGTTCCTCTTTAATAAAACCACCATGTAGAGAAGCCATGAAAGCATGCAAGTCCCAAGTTTGCCAGCCCTGTGCATCTAAGCCTTACTAATTAACAGAAAGGCTCAAGAGGTGGAAGGAGATGGCAGCTGTTGAAGCTGCTTGTATATCTGAATGCCGTTGTTTTCAGACCTCTTTGGGTACTCCGCAGAAAATTTGACCAAAACATTTAGGTATATGTGGTGCCTTTTCTACTTTAGTTTTAATAATCACAGATTTGCTTTAAGGGAAAGTTGATCCTTGCTGATCAGCCTGTAGCTTGCTAGCTTTGTGAATTGAGCCTATTGCAAGTAAAACACATCAGGATAGGGATACTCATTTTTAAAATAGTGACAGCTGTTTCCAATTATTATTATCATTATTATTATAATACAGGATTTATATAGCGCCAACAGTTTGCGCAGTGCTTTATCATGTCCATTGAGATATGAAAGTCTGATAATGTCCGATAACTCTGACAATGTATTCATTTTATTTTTAATAACAGGTATGAAGTCTTTGCATAGTTTAATGTAAATCCATGGGATCAATGCTCTTCCAAGGTAGCTATGCAAATGCAGACTTTTTTATGTCAGTATTTGCATAACTATAGCCACCCCCACCAAAATGGCAGGGCCCAGGCTTGTTGATAGGCTGCTTTGGCTTTGGGTATGCACTGTTGGCAGGGAACATTTCTAATGGGTTTGAAAGCCTGTGCTGACAGCTGTTCTATTGCTCCTTCACCCTTGATTCAAGTGTTTCTTTTGATCTAAACAGGCACGAAGGAGGACCACTACTCAGCTGGAGTTACTTTATGCAGATAGCAGTGAGACGGCTGCAGATCCTGTAGCAGGGGACAATGGTTTCCACATCTCTCTTCCTCCTGTTCCTGAAGTAGAAGCAGTTCCAGCAATCACTGAAACAAGTAGCATTTCTGTTAGGGACAAAGATCCCCAACCCCCACCTTCTGGCTTACCTTCTAAAACAGGCAGCATGTAAGTCTGTCTGTGCCGTATTAACCAACACTGCTTTTCCTATCCATTCTATAACCATATGCATGGATTTACGAGAACTACTTGTATATGTGCATTTAATAAAATGCATGGGGCTTTTCAATATGTACACACTTACCTTTTTTAAACCATATCTTTAAAAAAAAAAAAAGATCACTAAATAACTACGGTATTTGTGTTTTACATCTAGGGTGTAGTTTGAGTATTTAGATTAAGCATTATTTTTACACTTATTAAATGTAACTGTTTACAAACCCACCTCAGTAGTTTCATGGAAGGTGATTTGCCCCTTCTGTCAGTTTATCTGTTTTTGTGTAAATCACGGTTGCTGGGATTCTGTTGCTATGCAAGAGCCTGCACTCTTATTAACATTAAAGCAGGTAGAAGCTCTTTTTATTGAGTTGTTATCCCACAGATAGGATATTTTATATTACAAAGCTGGGTTGTGTCTTCTAGTGTGAGAATATTTATTGACTTGGAATTTGATAACTGACCCTAAAGATCATAAACATAAACTGCTGATTTCCCCAGAATCTATTATGAAGGCATATGGTCTCATGCATGCCATGCCAACCAGCCTGTTAAATAACGATCGAAGTGAATACTTTTTGCTGTGCTGCATTTCTGATTGTGCCATATTCTAAATGACACACTGAAGCTGAAAGCCACGGTTCTTTCATCTGCATCTTGCCTTGAAGTCATGATTTTTCATAACATGGCATCTCGCATCTAATGCTTGTTTCACTAGCTAAATGTTTGTTGCTTGTGCAGTTCTCAAAGGCTAAAGTAAGCAATAATCACGCAACGCATAACTAGTGCATGGCTATATCACGTTAACAGGCAGCTTTTTTTGCCCATGGCAATGAATTATCTTAGTACCCAGCTTGTATTAGCACCTTATTATATTGTTGGCGATTACTGGGACACCATTCTGCAAATTTTATGTTAAGGTAATTTTTTTATTTGACCCTTTTAAGCTCTCTGTGTACAATTACTTTTTTCACATCAGTGGTTTTGCTACATATTTAATGAGAAAGAATGCAAAAAAGTAACACTACTATTTTACTAGCAAGAAAAATGTGATTGGGCCTTTTTATCTAGAACATGCAACATTCACTGTTAAGACCCCACAAAATACATACAAAAAAAGTATCGTTTATTGTAATCGCCATCTGTCAAACTCCATTTTTGTATAGTGCATTTGTCATGCAGAACTAACCACTGGCTAATAAGACATTTTGACACATCTCTTAACCAAACATATAGTTTAGTGCAATGCTCTCTCTTAGTATAACACAAGGCTCTTTGGCATCACTGCACACTTCCTCAGGACCTATAAATGTGTTAACACGTAGAATTTTATTCACCAAAATTAGACCAGTGCTGTCTCTACTTAGCTAATGTGAAAAATCATATCCGCAAAAGATGGCATAAACAACAATTACACTAACTGCATTTACACAATTAGCATAATAATTCACAAAAGCTTGTTTACTTCGATATTTAGACAGATATATGATAAGGAGATGCCAGAGCAGCAACACTACATACATTGTAGAGTTCATTCCTTCCTATGACTGGCCATTGTTGAAAGTATGACAAGCTTGTGTATGTGGCATTGTCTGTGATTTCAGAATTGCTCTACTGTAGGTGATTGAAAATGATGACCCTTTTACTGCCAAGTGTGGTGGTTTATTTGTTAAAATTGAATTTCAGTGATCTATTGAAAAGTGGTTTTCATTGGACCTCTAGGTTTGAATGTTTATGTTTTGATACCCATCGGCAGTAAATTATCATGAAACGCGTCCCTTTCTGTATCAGGGTTATATCTGTATTTCCCCGCTTCTGCTAGCCATTCCCATAACATTCCATCCCTGGTGTCTTCTCCAAGCATCTAATTCAGAGTAATGTTTGTTGTCTCTGTGCATTGCTTTGATAAACCATTATAATCTGTTGAGATAATGGAAAGGGTAGCGACCTCTGTTCAAAGGGCCGTCATTTGTGGCCTCTAATCAGATTTCATCTTCTTTACATGACTTCAGTATATGGAAACCTGATTGGTTGGATTGCTGTGTGTAAACATAACGGGTTATTCACAAAAGGGTGGAGAATGCAGGAGAAGTGAACAATCTAGACCAAAATAGCTGATTTGGAAAAATGTTCCAATTCAGCTCACTTTCCAGTTCAGCTATATTGTCCTAGATTGTTCACGTCTCCTGCCTTCTCCAAACTCTTCACCCGTTTGTGAATAACCCTGATAGTCTTATAACATTTTCCTTTGTGTGTTAGTTAGCTGTACAGAGATTTAGCATTGTCTGTTGGTAGAGATGTGGGGAACAGGCTATGGCACCAGGTAGGGGCAGGAGTCTTTTGTGTTTTACCTAGCTTGAAAGTGGGCAGTTCTAATCTTCTGTTAATACCTTCCTTGTACCTTTCTGTTTTGTTAAAAGAAAATAATATTTTTTTAGTTTATGTAGTAGTGCAAAAAAAAATGAAATCACAGAAATACATTTAGGTTTTTTTTTTAGAAGGGGAGTTGATCACTATTATTTTTTCAGGACAAAACAAAACTCCCGTGTACCAGAACCATCACCATCGTTCCGAAGAAAAACCTATGACAGGGCTGGGGAGAAGACCGGTAAAACCAAAGAACAAAAATTGTACGTATTCTTTGTTGGGTGCCTAAAATACCATCATTCTATACATGATGTTACTTTCTACTTTAGCTTTCTCAGCAGGATTCTGATCTCTTTTACATGCTGTGCTGGTGTAGCTTTATAGACAAGACAGCGGCCTTTAAGTGGCACTTGACATTTTAAACATAATATTAATTGAGCCAGCTACACAGCATTCTGCAAATGTATGCAAGTGCCAAAACCTATTGTTTCACCCTTGCAGTTCAGGTTTGTCTGGTTTGTTTTTGTGTAGGCCTGCATATTTTCCTACTAGGAACTGCCTTTCATTCACCACACTTTTGTTTTTTATAAATCATCATCTTAATAAGCGTATGAAGAGCAGGCTTGCATATCATGAGTCATGTTACTTTACTGACCTTCATATTTAATATGCTAATGAAGTGTGCATTCCGTGTTGTTGTTTTGTTTTTTTTCTTATAGCTCAGATTCTGGAACATCAGAGGCTAGTCTGTCACCTCCTTCTTCCCCTACAAGCCGATCCCGTAATGAAATGAATGTTTTTAGTCGCCTCACAGTCTCTCAGGGAAACTCAACATGTCAGCAGGATAAGTAAGTCACAGGACAGTCACCCCCCCTATTGGTGGGCATTAAAAAGAGATATCATTTTTTTAATACAAGCTTAGTGTCAATTAAAATTTTGTTAAATAGAATTGAATGATCTCTTTCGCAAATAAATCCATATCCTATATGGTATTGCTTTCTGTATGCATACCCTGGAGCACATATGTAGCTCATCTGCAGCCTTCTTGTCCATTCAAACCCACTGACATCCATTCTTTATTGGTGCTTGGGGAGATGTAGCCATGCCCTCTACTGTATATAAACTAGATTTTTCTGTAGGTGAGTCTTCAGATAATGTTTTCAGAAACCCAAATGTAGTGGAATTTAGCTTAAATATCAAAGCACCGTCTTCATACTGACCATGTTAAATCTGGATGCTAAATACCCAACATTGTATTTGTACAGTGTAGTATACTAGCAAGCACATGCCTTACTATAGAGGCTGTGGTATGACTGAGTTGTTGCACTCAATGTAGCTTTAAACCCCTTAGTGAAGGAAGCAATCCTTTTTCTATTTCCTCCAATTTTTCAATATCTTATTCTGCCCTTTCCATCAAAAAAAGCAATTTGTATATATTTTCATTTTGAATGCTAAGAAACTAATTTCTACCATGAATACTGAATGTTTTAATTAGTTGTGTAAATGTTCTATGTTACTTTAAATAATGTATTAATTTAACTTTACCATTTTGCCACTGTCATGTACTAAATATTGATGTTTTTTTTTTTAATCGTTCTCTGTTTAGTGTGATAGTTTGATTATATTAACTAATGCTGACTATTTACTCTATTAGCCAGTTTTCACTGTCTGTGTATTAGATCTGCATGTGTCAAACTTACAGGTTCTTGGACTGGAACCGTACTACTGGCTTTGAGTGTGGAATGTCTGAGGAAAGAATTGTCTTAAGACAGCACCTGTTTTATCATTGTAATGAGTGTAAATTTGATACAGACACATACTGATACATTTCTACCCAGCAGCACCTGAAATGAAACCTGTACTGAGAGAAATATTGAGGCTGGCATTGCTGACTTCCTGTTGAAAATGCTAGTTAAATGGCTGTTGTATCTTACCTACTATCTCACGTACCAGTCAAGAACATGTATGCAGCAGTAAAGTCAGATCTGATGGAAAGAAATATAGGGGCTCCCATTTCTCATCTCTTTTTGAAAATTGCTACCGTAGTTGCAGTATTTTGAGTCATGGACCTGGAGCAAGTAAATAGCAACTGAAGTCAGAACTCCTAATCTGCATTTGTATTTCAGGGCCATGATTTAGAAAGTTCTAACATTGCTCTCCTTCTGGAATGTACCGCAGATTTAGACCCCTCTTATTACTACAATTAAAGATGCGTCACACACAGGAACTATGGGGAACAAAAGTAGCCACCCTCTAGAAGGAAGGACAGTGTCAGCATGAATTCAGAGATGACTAGAGTATCTACAGAAGAGTGATGCACAAATAAGAAATCAAAAGATCTCGCTGCACTCCTTACCGAAGAGAAAAGACCCGTGCAGACGGGTGGGTGCTTGTAGTGGCCACGGATGGCACCGTGATAAGATCAGAAAGAAAAATAACGTCACCAGCACTCCAAAGTATAATCAAGCAATAGTCCATTTATTGGCACATTGCCATTCAAATGCAAGCGCTTTCGGGGCCTCAGAGGGTCCCCTTCATCAGGAATCCAGCCACAGGGGAGTGGCTGGATTCCCCCCTCCCTGCTCCGATCCTCCAGCGCTGACTGGCGGAACGGACGGGGGAGGGGGCGGGTACAGCTGGCTCTGCCTCTAGATAGGCAGAGCCAGCTGTCACTCACGCAGCTGGGCGGATCCAGACATAATTGTCGCGATCCGCTTCAGCTGCGGCCTCTCAGTATACCGCGAGCTGTAGTTTGCGGTATACTGCGTCGTCTCATTATACTGCAAGCTGTAGCTCGCGGTATACTGAGCTTAGGGTGACGGGAGGACGCTAGTTTGTGTCCTCCCGTTACCCTAAGGAGAACTATGGGGAAAAGCCCTAACCCCATAGTTATCCTTTTAATAATAAAAGTACTTGAATGCAATTTTAGGATTTAACTCCTGAGTTTAGTGTCACTTTCAGTAACCTCCAAATACTATCCTTTACCTCCATTAACTCTCTGGTCCACACTCGCCTCTGGCCAGCAAATTCAAAACCACATCCCAACTCACATTTACATTGCCAGCTACAATCTCACCACCATTCAGGACTGACTCCTGATCATCTTTGCCCAACAAGCTCCATTCATCACACTCACAGCTTACTTATGGGCCATCAACATTCATTTACCCTCATTATGATCTCGTTATTTTATTGTTTATCCGATTAACCGATTAATCGAACTTAATAATCGGCTAACTAATCGATTTTGAAAATAATCGTTAGCTGCAGCTCTAATCAAAGCTGTACTCTTCATGGAAAGTTATTTTTACTCTCTGCTCTCAAACTTCCAATTATCCCATGGGGAAATTTTGGAAATCTTTATCATCATTATTATTTCTAATAGTTATTTTCCACAAAACTACCCATTCTGGAACAAACACACTTTTTCTTGTTTAACATAAAACACTTTGTGAAATTTTTGTGGGTATAATAAATACGAAAGTAGTATCCCTCTTTCTGTATTGATTTGGGCCAGATTTCCTCTAAAATAAGGTTTGCCTGCTTGTTCTAGTGCTGTGTATCTGGGAAGTCACACTTTGGTGGGCATCTTTATATGTACTCCTTAACAGAACAGCTTATCAGCTGCTGGCAGCTGCACTACATGGAAAGTATATTTACCACATATCTTATGCTACCCACAAATCCCTGGTTATTATAAGTACGCAAAGTAAAATGTAGGAAATCTTTGGCTGCTGTAATGCCCAGTAATCATTTTTAACAGTGTTCGTAACAGAAATCGAGAATACTGTCTGCGGATAAAGACCAAATGCTCCATCTTGTGTACCCATTTATTTTCCTTTCAAACTTATTTGTTTGATGCCACCTTGCCCTGCAAGGAGAAGGATCAAATTGTCACTCAAAGCAAATCTGTCACAGTATATGGTTTTAAAAATCCTGTGCATAGTTTTTACAATTACATCAATAAAATGTGCTTATATAAGAACCCATTCACACCAGGGCGGATGCGAATCAGAGCGGTTACCGCGCTGATCCAAAAAGGGAGGTTTTGGGAGTATTTAATTGTGTTTCAGCGCTGAAACACAATTTAAAAACGCCCCAAATCACGCTGATAAGAGCGGCTCCATTGCAAACTGTATGGAAACTGCACTGATCAACGCGACAAAAATAGTGTAGGAAGCAGTTCGGACGGGGAGCGGTTCGGCTCGTGTGGTCGCATGAACTGTCCCCATAGCAATGTATGGGATCATTCATGTTGGCCGAACCGCTACTGTGTGAATGGGGTCTAATAATTGTGTAAGCCTGTAATGTCCCTCCTACTTAGAGCTTGAGAAGGGAGTCTCCCACAACTGAGACAGAAAAGTGACTGTGTGCTCAGTATGTGTTACAGAAGCCGTCTGTCCATCTGCCTTTTGTTTTGTTTGCTAATACTGAGGGCATACATGAGGGGTTTACACCATATCATCTTTTCTCATCTCAAACTTCAAGCTACTAGTTTACAAACCATTTTTAACATACTAATCTATAGCATCCATTTTGCATCTGGCCTAAAGTAAACGTGTTCTAAAACCAATAAAGAGGTTGAAAGAAAACAGAAAATGGTGCTTGGGCATGTTTTCCTTCCCAAGTCTACTGACATGCCCATGTTTGGAGGGGATATTTAGGGAAACTTTATGTGCTGCCGTATTTTAGGTTTCTGCCAATAACTTTTGTTTTCTTTCACAAGTTTAACTTGAACAGGTTTACTTTAAAAAGCTGTATGTAAGATATATAATAATATGTTGCAGAACGTTAACTAAGTGTTCATATTGATAGATGGAAGTCTGCTTTTCTCCCTTATTTTAAAAAAATAGATAAATAAATTTAGATTTAAGGAATGCTCAATAGTTCTTTTATGATACCTGTTAAAAACCCAAATTATCGATTCTAAGGGGATAACATGGTTTCATTTGTTTTTCTGTAAAGGAAAAGTCCATCCAAAAGTGATATTTTAGCTACAGAGTCTTAATTTGTATTGCTCACTGTGTTATGTCATAGGGACCCCATTAGTAACCCACCCGTAGTTTGCACCTGCACTCCCACCCTCTTTGGAGTCTACCTCCCATGCTAAATCACAATATACACAGAGTAGGACCCTTTTGTAATTATTACTGTTTATTATACAGGATTTATATAGCACAGTTTGCCCAGCACTTACAAAATGGCACAGTTACAATACAGGAGGGTTAGGCAGGCCCTACTCTTGGTCAGTGTAGGGGATGGGCGAAGTTCTGGAGGTGTTAAGGGAGCTAGAGAGCAGGAGGTCTTGAGAGGATGGTTTGGGTGATATTTTGAGTTGAGGTAGGTGATGTAGTTTGGGGCAGAGTTGTAGATGGCTTTGTATGTTGTATATGGCTCTGTATGTTAGTATTTTTAATTTTCTTTTTTCGTTTGGGCAAGTGGAGGGATTTGCAGAGAGGGGAGGTGGCAGACACTGAATGGATGAGTCTGGCAGCAGTATTCATGATAGACTAAAGGAGTTGATAGCCTTTTGTAGTGATGGACCAACAAGAAAGGAGTTACAATAGTTGAGGTGAGAGATTACAAGGGAGTGAATTAGAAGCTTTTGTTGTGTCATTTGTTAAAAATGACAAAACGAATTTTAGAAATATTGTGGAGGTGGAGTCGGCAAGATTGGCATAGTGATAAGATGTGGGGCTGAAAGGAGAGATGAGAATCAAAGATGATACCAAGCACCCTGGCTTCAGGGTAGCGGTCGATTGTTGTGCTGTTGATTATGATGGAAAAGTCAGGGAGGGGACAGTTTGGAACAGGTTGAGTTAGAGGAAGTGCCATGACATCCATGATGAAATGTCAGTGAGTAGATTAGTGATGTGTGAGAAGACAGAAGCAGTGAAGAGATGGATTTAGGTGTTCTAATTGTGATTGTACTGTAGGTGTGCATACCTGCCTCTCTACATAAATCACCAATAGATCCAACAAAGCCTTGTTTTGATTCTCCTACCAAAAACTCAATTACCATTTTTTGATGGACTGACCCTTTCTTAACCAAGGGTTTTTATTTCTTTGTTTACAGTGGTGGCACTACAGTGAGTGCAATGGCGTCTGGATTATCATAAATGAAAGGCCCCATTGGCACCACTGCTGTTGTCCTAAAGACCTTCTCAGATTCCTATGTTTGTAGGTACTCTGATGACCATCTTCTATGTTGGGAACAAAGTACAGAGTCTCACATGTAGGAGTCCATACCATTAAAGTGTGGTAATATACTCGCTGTACTGCTATTGACTGGGTAAAGATTAGCATGCGTGTAGTATGCGAACATAGTGCTACTTAAACAAGGGCCCACATCTTAATGTAGTCTGGAGACCAATACAGGTTGTTTGGACCGTGTAAGCACAAAAACACCATGTCCGTGCACTATGTCGTCTATTTCCTATCCAGCTAGTAGTCTTTATCTTTCTGATATCTGTATTCTTTCCCCTTGCGCTCTACTACTGATCTTTATAGGTCTGATGAAAGTGATTCCTCTCTGTCCGAGGTACACAGGTACAAATTTCCTTCCTTCTACACCTATTTTCTTTGTTGCAAGTAACGCTGCTCTGCATGATGCCGATTTATTTTTGTTTGCTCCATGTTTACTACCAATTTGGTGCCCAATATCCAGTGTGTAAGATTTGATCTGTTTAGAATTTTTTTTTTTTTTTTGGCAGCTTGTGTTATTGTGTTGCATGCTACTTTTAACGGCTTTTTTTAGTATTACAGGAAGGTGGTGTATTGACAATTGTGCTTACTTTTTATGTTTTACAACTGTATAGCATGCTATATTATGTGTATTTTTTCCACAGTGAATGTGTAAGTTACTTGTCTTCGTAATGTTACTAAACAAAATTGTATATTCGCTTAACAATGTTGGCCTGCTGGTAGGCAACATTACACATTCAATTTATTGAAAAAACCTATTTAGAGAGCCAAAGCAGGACTAAAGGCATGCAGGCAATAGAGGGTCCTTAATATTTCTTAGATTTTATAAAGGTCACATTGCAAGTAATAATTGTTCCTTTTAAGGCCAAGTCCCAACAAAACTGATGGAAGGTTAGGTTTTGGATAAGCCAGTAGCATCTGATCTATCTTCATCTATATTTCAGCTTTTGCATTAATGATGGTATTACAAGTATATTCAAGTGTGTTCTGCTCCCTTGCCGGGATAAAGCTCACTGCTAAAATCCGCAGACGATGCAAGAATCTAGCGGGTGGGATAACCTTTGAACTTTGTACATACAGGCTTCAGTATGTGAAAGAAGTATACACAGCAGGCATTTACAAAGTATTTGCAAAGCTTTCAGCAAGTTTCAAGCATCTTTGTTGAAGCCTTTAAAGTTGAACCCCAGGGAAATTGAAAAACTACCAATGAAGTGGAGCTTCCCCAAACTGCAAGGGTTAAATACTCGTTTTTCTCTAGGGGAACATTAAAGACGTTTTATTTGCTTTATCCCTCGCTCCCCTGAGCAGCCAGCACTTTCCTCTTCCCTCCAATAGTCCAGGTTGTGGGTGGGCTCTCAGCATCCTCACGTACAATACAGGACTGCTGGTTCTGCAATGTATGTAATGACATCGGAGTGCGACTGACGGAGAAAGTGCCAAAGATGTTTATGTTTGATGACGTATTTTTCATGTTTCCCTAGAAATAAAAAGCATATAATCCTTGCAGTTAAGGGTGAGCCCCACTGCAGGGTAGTTTTCTTTTTTAATTCTCCAGAGTTAAACTTTAAAACCACTTTTAGTTCAGTTATGGGGGGTGCTAAACATAGATCTTAACAGGTGTGCTGACTGCCACTTTAAACATGTTTTTAGCAGGTTTTCAACAAGGATCAAGTGGTGGTAAAGCTTATGGAAGCTTAGCAGCTAGTTTAAAGTGACAGTCAGCATTGTTTAATATCTGTATTTAACTGCCCCCAAACAGGGGCAAAAGGGTGATTTAAAATCTTCAACAAAGCTGCTTGAAGGTGACTGAAAGCTTTAAACATGCTTTGTAAAAGCTTGATACACACACTATTCTTATACAAGCTGAAGCTCATAATGTGATTTACTTTCTAATCTTTGTCATTAGGAGTCTGAAACAGCCCTAAGAGTGTAGATAGTTCATGGAGACATGAAGACACTGATATTCAGTAAAGTTCTTCTTCAATTGTGCAGCCTTTTAATCACAGTTTGGCATCCTTAACTGATAACATAATGGATAACTCTTTCTATGTTGTGTAAAGAGAAGCCTGAGACTTTCCCTTTATGCTACCAAGCCTGATGACATAAAGTAATTTTAGATATTAGTGACTGCTGCATGTGTAGATAAACATGTCTGGAAGCTGAGAACCCGGAGTTGTGAGATTTCTTGTAATGAGCAATGTTAACACATGTGTCTTTTTCCCATCTCTAGGGGCATAATTAACCCATTTCCTACTAGCAAAAGCAGCAAGACATCCCTTGTACAGTGTATGCATATAGCTGAAGGGCACAACAAGGCTGTGCTTTGTGTAGATGCTACTGATGATCTTCTTTTCACTGGATCTAAAGGTCAGCCACATTATTTCCACTTGTATAAATATTTGCGGACAGCCAATATTGTATGACATTCTGATCGGTGCTGCGTGCCATTGGTCTTAACTATTTTACTTTACATTAGTACACTTTAGCCTTTAATATAATCTACACTGTAGCACCTTTTTTTTTTTTTACATTGTTGTATATTACTGCATAACTATCCCTTTATGACTATGGCCACTTTTTCCTTTTTGAATATGCAACATGGAGTGGTGTTACCAAATAACACAGGGGCAATTATTATTTTTTTGATCCATAAGCTATAAAAGAGATTATTGGTTTTATTATTGGTTATGGAAGCCATTCAAACCCTTCTAGTCAATTTGAAATTCTCAGAAAAATAGCAGCTGTAGTCTAGTTGCTATGGGCATCAGACTTAGTTTTATCTATTTTTTTTTTTATTAGTAAGTGACAAAAGTCGGGTATTGTATCCTGAAAAAGTGTGACTAAAGCTCACCATAAATACAATCTGCCTGTTTTGAAGTGTAGCCGTAGACATTAGATGATCTGAAGGTTATGACTGTGTCTCTAGCTTTTAGATTTGCGGTCTTCATTTATATAGTACAGGTAGATAAGCAATTCACAAAACAAGTATTTGTAAAAGCTTAGGATTCTGTCCAGGATGAATAAGCACCATTGCTACTCCACCTAGTTTAGAAGTAAGCATCGTAAATACATTAGGGGTCTTGGACTTTATGTAGACCCCTGATGTCTCCATAAAGAGGACCTGTCACATATTTTGCTATCACATAGAGTGGTTTCTCAGCCCCCTCTGTGATAGCAATAAAGTTAAGTGGGAAAAAAAAATAGGAAAAAATTTTAAAGTTTTCCCCCAAATTTTTTTAGTTACACATAAAAAAGAATTAAAAAAAACCATTTTTTTTTAAAAGTCCCCACCCCTACCTACACACATGTAAACATGCGTCAGGTGCGCATACCTGCGGAAACGACGATTGTGCCCATTTTGCTGCACATGTTACATATCGCCGCGAACGTCGGAATGAGAGCAATAATTCTAGGGCCATCAATCACTGATAACACTAAACTGATGAGCAGTAAAAGCTTTTAAAGCGTCGCCTATGGCCAATTTTGGGTATGCTAGTTTTTTGCGGTTTCGCGAGTGCGGGCAATTTTTAAGCTTGACATGTTTGGTGTCTATTTACCCGACGTGACCCCGACTTTTATATTTTACCAAAAAAGTGGGTAATATTAGTTGTTTTATAACATAATGTAAAAAAAAACTTTTCAGTAATTTCTCCTGAATATAGTAAAAAATAAAACCCGTAGTGGTGATTAAATACCACCAAAAGAAAGCTCTATCTGTCCCCAAAAAATGGTATAAAATTAATTTCAGTACAGCGTTGCATGACGGAATAAATGTCAGTCAAAGTACCACAGCGCTGAACACTGAAAATGGCCTGGCCAGGAAGGGTGTCTAAACACCTAGTCTTCAAGCGGTTAAACATACTCCATCAAAATTAATTTTGTAAGTGTTTATCTAATTTAATAATTGGGGGGTGAGGTCTCAGTCACCCTGGGATGAGCTTTGGGAAGTGCTATTTTTGGAGTGACTAAGGTGGCGTAGAGGCTCAGTGTTACCTCTAAAGAGTTTCAGGCATCTGTTGCACTTAATAGTATATGGCTATAAGGAAACCATTCCACTAACATATTTTAAAAAATTATTAAATTAGCAAGAGTGCTGTTTATGGTATCCACAGAATGCCATAAAATCCAAATGTATGATGAAATCGTTAAACGATATATGTCAAAGTTATTTTTACTTGTCTGTATAACTGGACACTTGTCGTTTAGTTTGGTAACTGTGGCTGGGTATTTCCACTTCAGTGTATTAACAGACCTGTGGACTTAAAACTGCTTTTTAGAAGACTGATCTGTATTAAATAAAAGAAGAGAAAATAACCTTTTGTAAGAGCTATAACTGGGGGAAGAAGAACAGTACCAAAAGGGCCAATGGTAATGGAAGCCCAAAGGCATTTACCTGTGTTAAAATATTTACCGGTTCAAAACAGCCAGTAAAGGAATGGGCCAGTGTTGGCGGCAGTGAACTGAAGGAACCAGTAACCCTTGTTGCTGTTTTAAAATGAGGAGCTAGTGCTGGGAGCAAGGAGTTGAGATTGGGGTGTTTTTATGTTCTGTACTGTGTCTCTGTTTTGGAGGCAGTCATCTTGGTAGAAGCATGGCTTTGCTTCCTCATGTCAGAGTCTCTAAGGAAGGGGAGCAGTGAGCAACACAGTAACGACATCACAAACTCTTTCTCCAAATCTCATATTCAGAGGCTCCAATCTGCATGCAGAGGCACAATGCTTTAGATCTTACACTGCATATATACAGCTCTAAGGTTGTAGGTACATGATTGCCTAGGCACATTCACATACCAGGAAAAGTACAGCTGTTTTTTAGAAGAAATTCCAGGAAAAAAGGTATAGTTTCAGGGTACTGCTTATGCAAAATTTCTAAATGTTCCCATAACATAGCAAAGCTTCACTTTTTGAGTTCAGTTCCACTTTAGGACCATCTGGATGTTCCACAACACTACTGTGACAATGCCCTGTGCATAGGTGAGGCACAAGTTGAATTCATCAGTAAAAGTAGACATTATTATGTTTGGTGATAGTTTTCTGGAGCCGCCTTACTTGGCAACCTAATTGTTCCATCACAGATAAAAGTAAATGAAACAATTGTTTGCGTAGTTGCAATTCATTCTCATTCAGTAATAAACTTGATAAAGAGGGAAACAGGACTAGGGAAATGCTACTTAAAAATGACAGTTGATGCCTAGCTTTTGAGGTTTTCTCTAGTTGTCAATGGAACTGTCTCCAAAAAAAATAATGATAAAAGTCCTGCTGGCTCCTAGATTGGTAAAGGCCGGCCACAGGATCTCATATTAATGTGTCCACCTCCTGGTTTATAGCAATATAAAATTGTCAGATTTCTGAACAGCTTTGGGTTATTCAGCATCTCTGGCCTGCTGGTGCTTTAAAGTCAGTTATGATAATTACATGAAACACTTCAAAATGAGCTGTTATTGTGCATTTATGTTTTAATAGTGGTTAGTTATACACCCAGCATTGCTATAATTTCTCTACCCTCAGTTTTAACATTGGCAATTCTCTTGAGACACTTCAGGCAGGCTTCAGCAGTAAACAAAACATCTCCGTGTGCATTTTATAGACAGATGTTTTCAGTTCCTAAATCAGATAAATGCCATTTGAGTTTTTAATGATTTTAGCTCCAGAAAATGCATTGAGTCATTGATTTTAGTTTCTCCAGCACTAGCTCCAAATGGAAAATAAACATTTAAAAACACTTAAAAGAGCTGTCTCCTGGGGAAAAGTATTTTTTTTTTTTACATTTACATACATGTGTAAATGGAGAGCTGAGAATTGAAAGTGATGGATCATGTTGAGGAATATATGTTTGAATAAAGAAATGAGACGGTGATATTTACCAAACCCTAATGTGTTCTGAAATAGAGACATGTTTTCCTAAATTTCACTGAGGAGTCATTATTTACCGATGCAGAAAACCTTTTAACGTGTCAAGCTCCTTTTTCTTCCTGTTTTAATTATTTGTGCATGTAGGTTGTTGGGCTTCACTTACTATTTTATTTGGCTTTGACTGCTTAACTGTATTTTGGCTCCTGAGGTAATGGTTGGAAATGCATAGTATTATAGTAGATAATGCCACATTAAAAAAACTGCCCACAAACAGTGATCTTTTGACCAGTACAAATTCTTAATTGAAGTGTTTGGCTGTGCTGGGGCAATGTTTACATCTAAATGTATGTTTTTCTGTTTTTATTTATTTTATGTTTATTTTTTCCTCAGACCGTACTTGTAAAGTGTGGAATCTTGTCACCGGACAGGAAATTATGTCACTTGGAGGTCATCCGAATAATGTGGTTTCAGTAAAGTATTGTAACTACACAAGTCTAGTGTTCACAGTTTCAACATCTTACATTAAGGTGTGGGACATCCGAGATTCTGCAAAATGCATAAAGACGCTTACGTACGTATTGTTTCTGCAACAAATTAAGCTTTATTTAATTTTACATTTTTTCACAAGTCAATTTTTTATTGTTGTGATAAGAAATATCAAACCGTTCTGCAATAAGCAAGTACATAAAAATAATGTAGCTAACATAAAGTATATTCTATACCAGAAGTGGAGGTGGGGGGGGGTTCAGGGAACAAGCCCCGGTGAGTCAAAGAAAAGAGTATTCTGAACACAGTGCATTGACGACAGGCCTCAACATGCATCCTTGGAAGGCAAGGGTGGGGTACAGCAGGCTGGTATGCCCGAACGTTGCTAAAAAGTTATATAGTCATCCTTTGGAATGAGTGGGCTCTACGCTACGGGGGACCTCAGCTCTAGACTGGGCTGAGGTTCTAGCGGTATAACTAATGCTTTGCACTGATATCAGGGGGTATGGTAGGAACAAGATCCAGTCAGGAGGCAGACTCAACAGAGTGATCGAATTCGGAGTTCGTGTGGAGCTGGGAGAGGAGGGAGGATCAAAGAGGATGGAAGGTAGGAAAAACCGAAGAAGGGCAGGGAGAGGGGAGAGAGGGTCATGGAGGGTTAGTCTGTAGCGGAGGGGAAAGTGGGGGACCTTCTTACGTTCATTCCCGCCCGCTTCCTGTATACCCAGAGATAACGAGAATGTGCGCTATAGGCGGGCAAGGGTATAGGGGGTATTAGTAATGGGCAGAGAAAGGGGGTAGGACCACAGAATGGAGAGAGCCAGGTATTACTGAATAAGGGTAACGTATGAGTCCGTGCCTTTAAATAGATGCCATGCTGTCCAAGTTTTCAGGTATTGAGGTGTGGTGTCTCTATCGTAAGCAATTCGTTCTTCCATGTGTGCCACAGTGTCAACCCGTGCTAGCCATTCACTGATTGTCGGTGGATGTGTCGACTTCCAATGTCAGGGGATGACGGTTTTGGCCGCATTCAGCAGGTGTATAACCAGAGATTTCTTGGTAATGTGGTGGGAGGCATTGAAGTGGAATAATAGGAGAGAGATTGCCGTGAATTCTAGTGTAACACCTGTTATAGTTTTTATGAGCGAGAGTATATCTGACCAAAAGGCTGAGATGAGGGTGCACGACCACCAAATGTGGAGGAGCATGCCAACGTCCTGTGAGCAGCGTCAGCAGGTGTTAGGGAAGATGCGGTGTAGTAGCTCGGGGTTTTGTACCACCTCAACCTCAATTTGTAGTTGGTTTCCTGGATCTGTACATTCATTGAGTCTTTCAACAAGAGTACGTCCATCCTCTCCCAATCTTGTGGGGTGGGGTTGGTAGATAAGTCTGCTTCCCATGCCTTAGTAGAAGGCGTGGATGGCATTGCGGAGGAGCCCGACAGTAAGGAGTAAGTCTCTGATACGGTGTGTGTAATCCTGCCAGGGGACGTGCAGAGCTGTTCAAGGGCGGTAAGAGGGCGTGTAAAGTGTTGCTTTATTTTATTTTAATTAAGATTTGGTTTTGGTTTTTTTATGTATTATCTTCTACCTCTTGGTAATCCATACCCAAAGTACAATAATCTGGTATGTGAATACAGGCCCAGCCTGATAAGATAGCCAAGGCAGTTTCTGAAATTCACGAGAGTGTTTGTGATGTGGGAGTTCTAGTGGAATTCATAGGATAACAAGAATGCTTTAAATGGTAAAGTTCTTTTACTTGCCACCTAGCAATTTACGGAGTCCAATCCAATTCATAAATGATTTTGCATTTGTAGGTTTAGATTATTTAGCATTTGTAAGCTTGGCATTGATCATTTATAAATGTGGGCTCTTTTTTTGTAGTATGGCCCCAATAAACCTCCCCTTTATGTAATCTAAAGAGGTTTTGTGTTAAATAGTGCCATACACTGTTTTCCTCTATCTACCTGCCATTGGTGGGAGGGATGAAGGACATTGCTGAAAGTGGACAACAGTGGTGAACAGTATATTTTTATAGTGTATTTTTCTTAAATCTCAACTCCATAGTTAAGTACAAAGTAATGCTTATTTCATATTTCTTGAGTGTATTAGTCATTTTAACATAGTTAGGAGTTTATGTAACAGGTTGTATATCCTTTGACATAAGGTCTTCCGGTCAAGTCACGGCTTGGGATTCGTGTGCTGGAAGTCAGAGCAGGACAGTGACCATTCCTCCGGGTGAAAATCAAATTAACCAGATTGCACTAAATCCAACGGGTACCTTCCTGTATGCAGCAGCTGGAAATGCAGTGAGAATGTGGGACCTGAAAAGGTAATTCATTTTTAAAATTATGGAATTATGTATTTTTTAATTCTGGGTCCTTGTAATCATTGGTGTTGAAAGAGGACAAGGAAGGATATAATTAAATAAAAAAGAAGCTAACAATATCATGGACCTTTTAAATGCATTGTTTTATAAAATGCACAATATAATAAATAATATCTGCATATTGGCAATTGCCCTAAAAGAAAATGAAGAATGTGAAATAAATATGTTTTTAAATTTGTGATATTATTTTAGAATATTTTTGATGTGAGATGTAGAATTAGGGTCATTTAGAGAGGCTGCTTATTATTTTTTTGCCATTATTGGCTTCATCCAGGTATAAGCAAGTGATTATTCTACACCTGCTTGCCTCTGAAAAAGTTATAAAACTTGTTGAGCTGAAATGTAGTCAAACTTCTTTTTACTGTTCTGTGTTATTAGAAGTTTCTAGATAGCCAGCAAGGGTCAGCATAATGTCTGCCTCTTTCCTCAAATCAGCAGCCTGTTTCTATGTGGCCCTATTACCCTCCCTCGCTTACACCTGCCACTGGTCAATGCACATTTATTAACTTTTGCAATGAAGCCCACAGAGCATTGCATCTGCAATCGGTGTGTTGCAGGTGCAGTGGACAAGCTTTTGCAGTGTGTTCCCCCAGCCTTAGGTCTAAAGGTGGCCATACATTCCGATGATCGAACCGTCGTATGATTGTCGTACGGCGGCACCATCCTGCCCCGATTATCGAAAGGTTCAATCAGCGGTAGTTAAAAAAAACCACCTGGACGAATTGCGGTAATCGACTGCCCGTATTTTCGTTTGCACATGAGCAGTGTTAATCGTACGACTTTTGACGTACGGAAACACCACCAACATTGCGAAAATCGTACGATCGACTGAAGTTTTCTAACATGCAGGAAAGACAAAAGTCGTACGATTGTACTGGCGGTTGCATACTACCCATACACCTTACGATTGTCGTACGAAAAGTTGATCGCATACGATTATCGTAAGGTGTATGGGCACCTTTAGGCAGGTAAGGCCACACACAGCTTTGTTAAATTCAAACCATCAAATAATTATGCTTAAATATGCACTCTGCAATTCAGATAAGGGGATGTGACAGTTTGAGTTTTGGGGCAACTATATGCAACTATGCTTCATGTGACATCCCAAACATGGGTGTAACCTGAAACAGCCTAAAATGTGGACTTAGCCTTTAAAAGCAAATTGAGTATATTTGTGTATAGCGTCAATCAGGCAGTTGGTCTAAGATGCCTTTGAGGGAGAGCAGACGCTACGGTGGGTTGGATTTGTATTATCTTCTGTACTTTAAAACCAAGAGCAAGATGGTGTTCCCAGAACATCAGGTTACTGGTAAAAGAGCAGTTTATGAGCTATTGGTGACATGGGGTACTCCAACAATATCTGCATATAAAACTTAAAACAATTTGAGATTTTAAAAAATCTGCTGTGCAGTAGAGTACATTTTAAAAGCTTCACATTCATAAATACTGCTGTGGAAGGATGTCCTTGTTAAATAAAAGAATGTATACAGTACAGTGACTATATGCAGGAAATTACTCCTTACTAGATTTCTGTGATACTACCTTTCAAAAACTGAGATGATATTTTACTCCCCCAACAACCTCCCCCATGCACCTTTCCCTAACTTTCCCATTGAGGTTGATAACACAACGATCCCTCCTTCCCCCCTAAGCAGAGGTCCTAGGTGATCTTTGAATCCGACCTCACCTTTCTGCCCCACATGAGTGCATGCAACACCCCTCTACCAATCCCTCCAGTGGCTTTCCAGCTATATCTCCAACCTTGTTTCAAAGTATCACCCTAACAGTCCTTTCTGCTCCTCCCAAGACCTTCTGCTCTCTAGCTTCCTTGCCAACTCCTCCCATGCTCGCCTGCATGACTTGTCTAGAGTCTCTCCCATCCTCTGGAACTCCCCACCGCAGTCTATCTCCTACTCTGTCTGCCTTTTAGGTGATCACTAAAGACTCATCTCTTCAGTGAAGCCTATCCCACCTCTATCTAAGCACTGAACTTTCACTTTCTCAAACAATTCATCCCTACACAGCTACCGCCTCTTGTATCACTTTCCCCTCCTCTTTAGATTGTAAGCTTTCACGGGCAGGACCCTCCTTACCATCTTGTCTTGACTTGTATTGTATTGTAATTGTAATGTCATCCTTATATTATAAAGCGCTGTGCAAACTGTTGGCGCTAAATACATCCTGTATAATAATAATAATATTCTTACATACCCAAGATTACCCTTTTTTTCAATAATGGCACCTCTGTATTTTGTTATTTGCAATGCAGATATAAATATAAAAATGCTTTACAGAGATTATTAACAAACCGCTATTACAAGATATACTTTATACCAATAACAATAGGTTTACAGAGCAGTTTAAAGATAATGGAACAGGCTCTTAAGCAAACAGTTGAAAATCATATGGTCTGAAGGTTGCAACATGAGCTACAATGTCAAGCAAGGCTCAAGTGAACAAAATATTATATTACATTTTTTTTTAACTTTAAGAGTGCACAGTACAAAGTAGGTGTAACAAGTACATATACTTTTTTTGAACATTCTAAAGTGTGTCTAGTTTAAAGCGCTGCCTAATTTCCATAGAGACACTGCATAGTTTTGATAGGGTCACCAAAAGAAAGCTCTATCTGTCCCCAAAAAATGGTATAAAATTCATTTCAGTACAGCGTTGCATGACGGAATAAACGTCAGTCAAAGTATCGCAGCGCTGAATACTGAAAAATGGCCTGGCCAGGAAGGGGGTCTAAACACCTGGTCTTGAAGTGGTTAATAACTAGCAATATGTGTGAGCTCATGTAGAGAAACTGAATAATTCTAGGACTGATGATAATTATTACTGGGAACCATAACTAATGTGGGATTCTGAGTTTTGAAAAGCCTGCAATATTAAGTAAAGTGGTTTTGCTGTATTCATGAGTTCTGGGACTTTATACTGAATCTCTATAAAATAATGAAGCTGTTAAGTATTATTTAAATAACAGAGGGGAATTCTAATTTTCCTATTTTTTACTTGCTACGAGAGCGGCATCTCTTTCAAACTGTATAAATAACCTGGTTGTACTTTTTAAAGCACTGTTTACGTTCATAAGACCAATAAGATAATAAGGTAAGATTTGAAAATGAAAGAGAGGAGCTGATTGGTTGCCATGCAAAGCTGCTCCAGATTTTGTCTGCTCCATTGATAAATTCCCCTCAATGTATTTTAGTAAAGCTCATGTCAGGTGTCTTTTTTTTTTGTTCTTGCTGAGAAACTCAGTTATTCTCTATGGGATTGTTAACTGGCTAATTTTACAGCAAGCTGTAGCTCAGTTGCTCATTGAGTTTAAGCAGCATTTCATGTGTTGGTGACAAAAACGCCAGAGACAATTGCTCTTTGTTCACCTTGATGGTCAAATCTACAAACCACTTGGCTTAACTACAAATTGCTGTAGAAGAGAGATGTAGCAGAGCTCACTAACCAATGCTATAGTACTTGTTTAGCTTGTAACAGCAAACAATCTACAGAGGCTCTAGCAAATAAGTTGATGGCTACTTGTTGCTGTTAATAACTGGCATTCGTGATTAGTAGCAACCATATACTGTATCTCTGCAACAAAACTGCCTGTTTGACATCAGCTTAAAGGTTATGTTTTTATATGTGAATGGTGTACGTACATGCACTGTTTGTTTTATCCTCACCAGTTGGCATGATATTAAATAAACCCCTGAATTAATTTGTTCCTAGTATCAGGTTGTATCGTTCATTGTAAAACATTCTTTTTCGATTCCTAAGGTTTCAGTCTACGGGAAAATTAACTGGACATCTTGGGCCGGTCATGTGTTTAACTGCAGATCAGGTTGCCAGTGGCCAAGACTTAATCATCACAGGCTCAAAGGATCATTACATTAAGGTAACAGCTATCATTTTGTGCGAAATATGTTTTGCACTTCATATGGATCTGTAAGCTGTCATTTGGTTGTGTAATGCCAAATTGTTCAGTTAAACTGACTGAATACAAGAGTAAAATGGCGGATCATTATTTGTCGTCTTTTACATTTTTTTTCTGTTTAACTTAAATCGGTAAAAATGCCTATGAATTGAAGTAGTTATATGCCCAATGTGTACTGTATGTGTTGCATTCCATAACTGATAACCGCCTCTGTCCTCCAGTGCACAGTTCAACACTCTCCCTCCATTCAGGGTTACCCATCTGATTAGTGACCATACCTAAAAGAAGGGATGGTTTGTAAAGTTCTGTTTCATTAGTTGCCTCTTCTCTCCCAGCCTGCTGATTTAGCAGTAACAGAGAAGCTGCACATTGATGAAGTTATCTCTCTGTTCTCCATTTCTGTGATCCAACACCTGATGCTGTTCTGTTAATGGTAGCTATTATTTAACTGCATATATTTTGTCTGGCATGCAGGCTGCTATGCCCCATAGTGAGGGAATCACAGTACTGTGGGCCCTGCCTATAGATATAAAGCTGGTATACATTCTTTTTTTTTTTCTGTTAACAAAAGGGCAGAACGAAAAAAATAGAACAGCTTACGAGCGTTGTTGTGCGAATCCCAGTTTCCTTTGTATTCTGACTGCGGCCACTGTCCGAAAACCCAAACGGAGCTAGCAACTGTTTGGCTGCTAGTGCTGTCTGGCCAAGAATTGTCCGACCTGCGCTGATCGAGGGATGCCAGGCAGAAGGGTGCAGCAATTTTGAGTGTTTCATCGAGAACTGTCTGAATTTCAAAGCGTGTCTAGCCTACTTAAGTTCAGTGGTTCAAAATGAATAGGACTAAAAAAAAAACAGGGTGGTTCTTTCTCTCATAACACCAGCCCCAGTACAAGAACTTTGGCGCCCAGGAGCAGGAAGTCTGGGGGGTATGTACTGTAAACCACAACAGAACAGAAGGTCTGACAGATTGGCCCATGAATCAGCTGGTATTTTCAGATATCTGTTTATCAAGGGAGCCTGCTATTCATGGATGTATGTTCAACATATGCAACATGTGTAGTATGTATTTGTGCAGGTTTGGCGGCTCATCTCTACTATTTGTGTTTTCTCATTTAGTTTTTTGTTTTTTACACAGATGTTTGATATTTGTGAAGGAGCTCTTGGCGCTATAAGCCCTACACATTGTTTTGAGCCACCCCATTATGATGGCATTGAAGCAGTTGTCATCAGTGGAGAGAACCTTTTCAGTGGGTCCAGGGACAATGGATTAAAAAAATGGGACCTTACCCGAAAAGACCTTCTTTATGTAAGCTTGAACATTTGGTCTTTTTTTTTTTTTTTTAAACTTTGTGACAATTTTGTTGGTATGAGTAAAACTTTCTTTTTTTCTTTCCTCCAGCAAGTTCCAAATGCACACAAAGATTGGGTGTGTGCTCTTGGAATAGTGCCCAGTTGCCCTGTTCTTCTGAGTGGCTGTCGAGGAGGCATCCTGAAGCTCTGGAATGTAGATACGTTGGTGCCCATTGGAGAGGTCAAGGGTCATGATAGTCCCATAAATGCAATCTGCACCAACACAACACATATATTTACTGCATCAGAGTAAGGATTTGCATATTATTTTTCCTTACCTGCGTATATTACATACGTGTATAATATCAAAGCTATCTTACCCAGGAATGAATAGCTTAAGTATATTACAATTTTGCCATTACAGTTAGTAAATTCTGCTTATACTTCTTTATCTTTGTGGTTTTAACCACTTCAAGACCAGGTGTTTAGACCCCCTTCCTGGCCAGGCCATTTTTCAGTATTCAGCGCTGCAGTACTTTGACTGAAGTTTATTCCGTCATACAACGCTGTACTGAAATTAATTTTATACCATTTTTTGGGGACAGATAGAGCTTTATTTTGGTGGTATTTAATCACCACTGGGGTTTTTATTTTTTACTATAATTAGGAAAAATTAAAGAAAATTTTGGAAAAAAAAAAGTTTTATTTTACATTATGTTAGGAAACATTTATTATTACCCAGTTTTTTGGTAAAATATAAAAGTCAGGGTCACGTCGGATAAATAGACACCAAACATGTCAAGCTTTAAAATTGCACGCACCCGCGAAATCGCAGAAAACTACCATACCCAAAATTGGCCATAGGCGACACTTTAAAAGCTTTTACAGCTCATCAGTTTAGTGTTATCAGTGATTGATGGCCCTAGACTTATTGCTCTCACTGCGGCGATATGTAACATGTGCGGCGTAATAGGCGGAATCGTCGTTTTTGCACGTATGCGCCCCCGACGCATGTTTGCATGCGTTTATGTATGGGTGGGGACTTAAAATATATATTTTTTTGAAATTCTTTGTTATGTGTTACTTTACATTTTTATGTGATAGCAAAATATGTGACAGGTCCTCTTTATGGAGACATCAGGGGTCTCCAAGACCGGAAGTGGTTAAAATCCTTTTTTTTATGCCAGTGATAATCTGATACCAATTTAGTTATACCAAAAAAAAAAAACAATGTATACTTCTATGGGGCTTGTTCTTAAACCCCCCCATAGAGAAGTCAGATAACATGTATGATAGATTTGTTTTAATATACACTAACATTAAAATATTTTATGTTCAAAATTGTTTACATTATGAAGGAGAAGGAGCTTCCATGAACAATTGAAGTTAAATCAAAAAAATGTCCTTGTTTTGAGTAGGGTTGCAAATGATTAAAACCCCATCAGGGTCGTCCCCCCCCCCCCCCTTTTGTGTCCTGTTGGGACATTTCCTATAGCATCCTGTACCACAAACACAACAGGAAGTATAGGGAAATCTTGGCACCGGAACAGGTGTGCCCATTGGCCGTTTTCTCCCCATTGGCCGTTTTCTCCCCATTGGCCGTTTTCTCCCCAGCTTGTTCTGGCGACAGCTTTAAAGTTTTGAATTTGGTCACGTTCTGTAACCGTGACAGTAGTCACTAGGACAGATATTGAAGGTGAATCTCCCCATCACGGGTCAGAGCAATAGAAACCTTACAGGAGTTGTAATTTTTATCAGACTAAAAAAAATGCTTTTTATCTAGGTTAAATATTATTAGGTGTGTTGAAATAATATATATATAGTATGAAGAAATTGGTTATAGCCTCTGTATGAACTGACATAATTTTAAATAACCTTGCAGCAACAAGGAACGAGCAGATCACCTGTGTGTGTGTGTATACACTGTATAAATGTATGTAACAAAAAAAAAAATCTCTATTCTAAATATCTCATAAAGTAAAACCAGATACAGTTAGCCAACCAATTACACTGCAGTGCCTCTAGGTATGTTTGTTATTGAGTGCGGCAGGACTATATTATTATTTCCTTTTGTTAAATTGCATTATAATGATAAATTGTGCCCTTCAAAAAGACAACTGTACAGCAGATGGTTTAAGGTGCCCATACACCTTACGATTATCGGACGAAACTTTTCGTCCAATGATCGAACCGTCGTACGATTTTCGTACGACGGCCCCATCTTGCCCCGATGATCGCAAGATTAATTTAGCCGTGATTAACGAAAAGCACCTGGACGAAATGCGGTAAATGATTTGCCGTATTTTCGTTAGCGCAAGCGCAGTGTAGATCGTACGACTTTTGACGGACGGAAACGCCAGCAACCTTACGAAAATCGTACGATCTAGCAAAGTTTTCAAACATGCTTGACCGCCAAAAGTCGTACGATTGTACAGTACTATCGGTCGGGCACTCTATTCACACGTTACGATTGTCGTACGAAAAGTCGATCGCATACGATTATCGTACGATAATCGTAAGGTGTATGGGCACCTTTAGGCCCATGTGTGCTGTAAGGGCACAAGCGAGTGAGGCCCAGCTGTCTATAAATTGCCCTTTTGGTATAAGTGCAGATTATTTAAACTTGACCATACTTATGCTTGATGACATCTAACAAAGACACAGCAAGTATGCTCCTCTCTTTGTGCTAATGTACAATGCATGTAGGACAGAGACTTTATATGCTTACGACACCCCTGCAGCTTTTCCACACAATTTCTGCTCACTATTGTTCTTATGGACATTACTCTTATTTTCTTTATTGTAACCATTGGCCTCATGATTTGTGTTAATCCTTTTTATGTTGTTTGCAGCGACCAAACTGTGAGGATCTGGAAAGCTCATGGTTCACTGGACGGGCAGGCATCAGATGCTGGGGACACAAGTGAAGAGGTTGCCAGCAATTGAACTGGAAGCATCAAGATAAAGTCTTAAGGAGAAGCTGTGACAAACTGTTTACCGTTAGATTTATCTGGGCATTTGTTAAATTATAACTGCAACATTTAGTATATTGGAACTAACTGGAAATTGTGATCAACTGTACTGTTATTGTATTCTTAACAGCGGTAGGCTGCTTACCAAGTTTTGCACACATATTTACCAATCCTGCTGTTCTATAACCTAATATCAATTCCATTTTACTCACTGGCTGAAGAAAAAGACAAAACGGTTTGTTGTGTTTTAGTCATGGGTGCAAATGGTTTAAAGCTGTTTCCGTGTAGTTTCCAGTGGCACTGCTGTATTATGAGGTAAAGATAAGCAAGCAGATATAACATACAGGGTTTACTTGAAGTTCTTCTATAGTATCCACTATCGCATATACAAATTGTGTGCCTGTAGGTCTTATGTATCAAAACTGCCAAGGGATAGACACTTGTTATTGATGAACTAAAACTTCCATGATGCTTTTTGGTCAAACAGAAAATCAGCATGTGAGTTTTTCCAGCAGTACCTGATGTACCAAGTGTTCACTCCTTGTCAATAAAGCTTTGGTGTTGAATACCTTCCATTATACTTGACCAAAGTTCTGCTTTTCTGCACGTCCTTGTTCTCAGGATTTTATGTGCAGTAAATGTTTAAAGATTACACATTTCTTCTTTCCTCAAACAGTTAACCGTTTATGTGGCTGGAAGGTGAAGCTGTGTTGTATGATGAATGCGTGTCTCCTACTGTTAAAACAGAATTCTGCTTTAAATTATTTTTGTTCACTAGACTTTATTTTTTGTTCTTAAAATACTTATATTTTGTTCTTTCAGCTGCATAAGTTTGCTTCCTTCTAATTTAAAATGCTGCTAAATATATTTTGAATACTTTTTTTTTCATTTGAGAGTTTGAGTATTTTCTGTGGTAGAAAATGTATATAATTTTGGATGTAAAAATATCTTCAGCTCCTGCTTTGATTTTAAAATGACGTGTGAATCTGAAAAAAAATGCTTTCTTTTCTTAATCTTATTTTGTAAATTTGAAGCCTGCAAATTTAATATAGTTTTAATATTTGTGCATATTTTGTTTGTAGATTGAGATAACTTGTGACCTTCATCTAAGCTAATGCATGAATAAATACATGCACCAGAGCATTTGTCGTTGTTTGATTATGGGCAACTTTTTATAAAGTACATTTCTATGTTTTTTGCATAGATGATATAGTTACACTGGTCATCTCTAAGGTCAGCCATAGACATAGGAGCGCAATCAGACATGCAGTCTTGGTCAGACTTTCCATTATCATGAATGCTCAGCCTAGCCGATTAGGTGATGATGTGATTTATATGTGTGGCCCCTGAGCTTGACAGTGGAGTTCTCTCAGTTGGGTTTATGCGGCCACTTAGGCCACATTCACACTGCTAAGAGCCGGTCCGTACAGATCCGTGATGCGTGCACGGTCGCATCGGGAAGGACAGGTGCTGCATGTGATTGTACGCAACAGTCTGTTCTTCTCTATGGGATTATGCGTCTGTGCGGTCACCTGAGCTACACATCCGTGCGGGTATCCGTACTTGTACGCAGACAGGATGGATCCTGTCTGTGTCTGAGAACAGACACCCGCACGGATGTGCAGTTCGGCTGAGTGTACGGCGGCGCACTCCCATAGAGGAGAACAGGCTGCTGCGTACAATCACATGCAGCACCTGTGCTTCCCGGGAGGCCTAAATCTCACAGTTTAGTAGTGATGCTTAAAGACCTTGCAGGGTCCCTTTATCTGGCACTATGGGGACTTTATTAAATGTGATATAATAACCTAAACATCAATGAAGGTTTGGTTTTTTTTTTAGGAAGACACAATGGTGTGCTGGTATCTTCTCTTCTGCTATTGTCTATGTGGCGCCATCTGCAAGTTACAGCAGCACCTGCTAAGAAGGGACTTATTAGTCAGGTGTGCGGTTTGATATCCATATGAATTCCATTTGCATTGCAAACATGTGTTTTGAGCAGCACTGTTTTCAAATGCAAAAGCAAGTGTTTGACAGCAACATCCTTTCGAACAAGCCCATGCCATAGCCTCCATCCCTATAATCGTATGTCTGTTGGTAGCGTATTAATATCTCCTTCTTGCTGTTCTCCTGTTAAGCAAGTGTGGTTTGTTTGGCATGATCTGGCACATCCTAAAAAGTCTGGAAGGTAGTTCTTCCTGACACAGCAACCAATTGCATTCCATTTGATATTTTCCTAGTGCAAGTAAGTGAAGCCAACATATTTGCAGTAGCTCCTTTGTTCCAGTTTCTTTAAATGGCCCACAACATGAGGCGGGAATGACTGTGAATAAACCTGCAAGAAATAGCTATGATTGGATGTTTGTTTCATTGCGGAAATGTAGAGTATTAAGCTGAAGATTCTGATTCTTTCTCCACATTTTCAGGCTTCTCAGTATAAAAGAAACAATTTGTCATAATCCACTGCAACTGATCAGATATCAGGTTGTAGCAGCTGAGCATAATTAGACAAATGAAAGCTGTCAGGATTAGTTATTGCACATCGTGGCTCTTTGCACGTTATTAAATAAAGTCTCTAGTTCCTATCACCTGTCATTAATGGACATTTCAGTCTTCATATTTATCTAATCTTGAATGTGTTTTGCACTGGCCCCAGTGTAATGGACGTTGTTGGCATCAGTGAAATTAACATTGGAGTTATTTATTAAACTGAATTGTCTGACTATACGGGCATGGTTTGCTAAAGAGCAGGGATATTAAGCAATCCAGGGCAAAGTTTACTAAAGTGTAAAGTTAACTGGTGAACGTGAGTGCAGTTAAATCATCAAATCCATTACAGAGGAATTTAAAAAAAAAAAAGAGCTTCTCTTTTACATTACTGGATGTTTGTGCACACAGTCTCACATCTGCACAATTTGCATGTAGGTAAGTATAGGCCAGGCTCACTTTAGGGTATATTTAGAAAGCTGTAAATCAGACATTTACCAAACATATACTGCAGCTGAATTTTCCTGGTGAATTTTTGAAATGACCGTGATTAATTCACTACCAGTGAATGTTTTGTCAAATGTACTTTCACTGCTATGTAAAGGGCGTTTTTTTGTTTGAACTAAAGCGGGGAAGGATTAGCTTTTAACTGCGGTGCCTCTGCTGGGGAGATCCACCGCTTCATTTTTCTTGGTAACCGAGGCAAAACATGGGAAATCCAAATTTTTAGTTGTCAATGAGAGCTAGATGTAATGGGAAATCATCCAATGGAGACACCTGTTCTTATACCAACTCTAAGACAGAAAATAATCTGTTTTAACTCCAAATCCAAAAGTAAAGTTTTGGCTTTACAAACACTATAAGTTCACTGCTCGTCACACTTTTAGTACATCGTGTTGCTCAGTCCAATTCAGGCTCAGAGTAGTCTTTTAGTAAACGGTTTGAGGAAGAAGTTGTCATGGATTATGTCTGTTACCCAATGGTAAATTCCAAGTGGTCCTGAGAAATGACAGTTAGAGAATGATCGGATTGCTATGGGGCAATACAGACAATTGCTACTTCTGATACTTTAATAAAATAAGTATAAAATGCTTTGGTTTCAAGCCATGTTGCATACAGCTGAGCTTCTCAACCAGTGGTACAGGTACCCCAGGGAGTATTTTGTACAGGGTAAAGAGATACGTTTGCTTAGCGTTACGTTTACTAGCGTCCTCCCGTGACCCAAAGCTCAGTATATCACGAGCTTCAGCTCGCGGTATGCGGAGACCGCCGCAGCCGGGATGGATACCGACATTACTGTCGAGATCCACCCAGCTGCGTGAGTGACAGCTGGCTCTGCCTATCTAGAGGCAGAGCCAGCTGTACTCGCCCCGTCCGTTCCGCCAGTCAGCGCATGGGGGATCGGACAGGGGAGGGGGGGAATCCCTGCAGGAAGCCGTGAGTGACAGTCAAGGCTCTCTGCAGGGACATGATCGAGAAGTGAGCAACGGTATGCATTCGCTCACTTCCCGATCTATTGAGCCGACGTGTGACAGTCTCATTGTCACACATCGGCTCGAACTATGAGGTTGAGTGAAAATCACTCACCTCATAGTTCTCCTTTAAGCAGACTAATCAAAAGTAGGTGCACCTATTAAAATGACAAAACATTGTTTTGAAAACATTAATACACAAGTGGGGTACACACTCATTAGGAAGTTTGCACAAATAAAGAGAATTTTGTGGAGTCTGTCTCTTGTTTCTATGCCAAGCACTGAGTAGACATTTGTTCAAATAATATAATTAATAGTATGTAAACAGGTTTGTAATAAGAAACTAGTTATTATCATAAGGAATCACCAAGGCTATCCCATGGACTCTTAGAGTTTAGTTGCAGGGGGACATTTTAATAATATGTTTCTAGATACTGACTGCGATCACAACATATCGCTCTTGACACCCTGAAAACTGAATGGACAGTCCTGGTTTCATAAATGGGAGTGTGATTAAAACTCAAAAAATACATTATAGTTTATTTCTTGGTGCATATATTGTTAGTAGTGTCACATTTAGGTCCATTCACACCACTGTGCTCTGGTAATGAAACTTACATGAGTTGGTGCGCTGCAGTGCCATTCGTTCTAAGGCTGCAGTGCACCACAATGCATGTTCTGAGGTGTGCTACAGGGCCCATTTGTTTTAAAGTCAACATGCCACAAAACGCCTCAGTGCACAAAAATGTACATGCAGTGAACTGCTTTCTGGTGTCAACTGGCCCTTTATTGGAAAGTAATTGTTGATGAGACTTTTTATTGCTTACTGTTCTGTATTTTGATTGACTTTCATATATATTTACATAAGGCTCAATTCAATTTGCTGATCCTGCTGTATTAGCTTTGTAAATTAAAGCTTACAGGCCCCCTTAACATTATGCCTTTCTTTAACATGTTACAGTTAGAGATGCACTGATACCGATACTTGTTTTCAGGAGTTTTCATACTCATGTAAATGCCCCAATACTAAATACCGATACTGGCCTTTTACCTTTTTAAACAGGAGCGGCTGCTGTGAGGTCCACTTGCTGGGGACCTCACGGCGGCTGTCTTTTACAGCGCCGGTCCGGCCGCACATCTTCCACCTCCTCCTTCCTGCTGCTTGCAGAGCCATGAGAAGGCGCCGCACGCAGCCATGGTGAGACCCTGACCATCCTCCTCTGACCATGCACAGCCCTGGTGAGCAACACAGCCTCATATTATTCTGCATTGCTGGGATTTTGTTTAGTCCTCTATAGCTGATGCTATTCTGCATTGCTGTATAATGTATTGCTGGGACTTGTAGTCCTCTATCGCTGGTGGTATTCTGCATTACTGTATAATGTATTGCTGGGATTCTTAGTCCATCTACAGTGGCAGAACTGCCAGGATTGCAGCGGTTGCACCTCTGACTGGCCCTGCTGCTCCACCACTGTCCTAAAATCATTAGTCTGTATTGTTTTAGAAAAACTGTCACATGACACTAAAAAAAAAAAAGTATTGGTATTGGCGAGTGCATCCCTAGTTACAGAGCATTAAGGTGCTCTGTGTTAAGGCAGCACATCATTCTTGAATGGGCTCTAAGAGTAACACCAGTGTGAAGGGGCTAAAGATTCTACAAAGCAATTGAACTGCCTCAGGAAAGCAGAGCTTCCAGGTCCTGTCGAGTGCTACGTAAATTTGCAAGGAGGTTTTGAAGACCTAGTGTATTTATGTTAATGAAAATAGGGAGAGGACGAGTGGTGCATGCATCGCTCATGGCAGAGAGAATTTATAGTGCTTGAGACAGGTGTATTGAACTGTCTAGTTGATGTTCCCTCTGACAGTGGGCAGCGTCATGGGGCAGAACTGTAGACCGTTGCCTGATCCAAAGGAAAAATGGCTATTGTCTATGGGTAATTATGGTTACCAGCTATATATTAACACTCACTGATATGATCGTTTGCATTAAACTGATCACGTTTAAATATAGATATGTAATTAAAATAAACAAGCAAGACCTTAGTTTCCTTTTAATTGTCGATTAGTTTGATTTTGAATTTTCATTGTCTCAAATATTTTTCTTCTTTGCACTTTACCTAGGTTAAAGTACAGGATTCTGTTATGTATACAGCCCTATAATTTATATACATAGCCTACAAACATGCAAAGGTTTTATTA